GGGGGGTGGCTCTCCCTTGATCCTAGGAGTCATCTAGTCTGTCCTTGAACAGACAAGACTCTCCTCTTCAGAGTTCCCGACCTATGGCGTTTCAGCCTCAGCTTGCACACTCCCACAGATGGGGAGCTCATGACCACATTCTGGGACAGTCTGGCCAGCTCTGATCATTATAAAGGACTTCCTTCCAAAACCCTTCCTCCTTGTAATTTCCACCCACCAGTCAGAGCTCGGCCCACAGGGCCTCAGAGAATGCCTAGACTCCAGAATTCCCTGGTCAGTCCTCTGAGATGTGAAGCAGTGCCTGCAGAGTTAACTGAAGTCTGGGTAGAAAAGCCCACGGAGGGAAGGGGCAGGGAGAGGGGAGAGGTGGGGGGACGGGTTGCCCAGGCAGTGGTGGATGGCTCTGAGGAAGAAGGGCCAGAATAGAGCTGGAGGCAGAGGGTGGGGGTGGGCCTAGCGCTGCGTATCCTGCTGTGGGTCAGCATCAGTCTGAGGGCGTCTCCCCTAGCCCTGCAGCTTCTGTCCATGGGGGGTGTCAAGCATGGGGACTGCTCTTAAAACTGGCCCAGAGGGCAGGCCCAGGCCAGCTCTCCTGAAGGCCCCCTGCCTGGCCCCTGAACCGGTCCCACTGGTGTGGAGCACCCTCAGCCGGCTCCCAGGCAGCTCTGCTCTGGAAGGCAGGCAGGACCGGGCGCGGGCCAAGGGCTGTTGAACAGGCGCCCCAACTTCCTCTCCTTCTGCACCGCCCTCTGCCGCCCGCCCTCCTCGGTCTGGCGCGGGGGAAGTTTTCCACTCGCCGGCACACAAGTTCCATCCCGCTGTTCCCTCCTTTTTTCTGGAGTTAAACTTTTCTGAGGACGCCACCAGCTCCAGGCCCTGCGCCTGTGCAGAAGAAAAACGGGAGGGAGCCCGCGGAGGGCTCTTTGGGCGGGTGGGGCAGCTGCCCCACCGGATGCCTGCCCAGCCGGCCCACACGCTGATGTCTGCACACCACTGGGAGAGCCCAGCCCTGAAGAGGCCAAAGCTACTGGTGTTCAAGGCTGGCCCCAGGTAAGGAAGTGCCCCTCCTTGGGGCATGCCAGGTGATAGGGAAGCGTGGCAGGGCCAGTCCGAGGCTGCCCAGAGGGATTGTCCTGGGAGAGAGGCTCCTAGCTGAGGCTCCCCCAACTCTGGGCAGAGGCCAGTCCTGCCTCCTGTCCTGACTTGTTATTGGTGGTCCCACTGCCAGCCTGAGTGCAACTCCTCCTTGGCAGGGTGGGTGGGAGGATGGGGGAACAAGGGCGTAGTCTCGGAAGCTGGCCTGGTCCCTCCTCTGCCCACCAGTGTTCAGGCATCTTGTACCCCACTTTGTGTGGTTCATGAACCCAGGAGCCCCCATAGGGAGCTCATCAAGAACCTTGAAGCCAAGAGGAGAAGGGGGAGAGGGGGCTGCTCTTAACTCATTCACCGCCAGCAATATTACAAACTCCGTTTCCCAGGGAGTTAGGCTGGAGGCCGGGGGCTGAGTTGGAGAATCAGGTACTTCCTCTGCCTCCATCTCCTGGTACCCCACGTGGCCAGCCAGTGCTGCCCTGACCCATCTGGCAGCCTTGGCAGAGATGGGGAGAGGTGGGGGTGTAGAGAGGAGGCACAAAAGGAAACACAGGCAGGTCTCCTCCCCTTTGTTAGCTGCCCACCCAGCCCTAGCTTCCTCTTGCTTTCGGACTTTTGTGTTTTCATCTCTGGGATGGGAGGAAGGACATGGGGCCGTTCTCTGGCTTGGGTGGGTGGAGCCCTGGAAGGGAGCTAGGACAGAACATGGCTGCAGCCCAGGCCACGACCACTTCCTGGCAGGCTGCCAGCACTGGCGCAGCACAAACCAAAACAGAGCAGGCCGGGGATGGGCCACTGGGCACGGCCGAGACTTAGCCTTCATCGGGGCTTCCTGTCACTGGCAGGCTGGGCAGTCCCTGGGCCCAGGGACCTAGATGGAACAGGGCTGCTGGGAGGCGGCTGGATAGGGAAAAAGTACTGGGTGGGGAAGGAGAGGTTTGCCAGGGCTCTCGAGGATGGGCACAGAACAATGGAAAACTCATTTAGCTTGACTCACCCTGGCCCACTTTCCAGGCCTCCTTCGGTCATATTCAAAAGTCCTGCCTGGGTCTCTCCACATTTGAATGGCCTTGAACAAGGCACTTGATCCTCTTTAGGCCTTAGTTGCCTGACCTTTGTAGAAAGGAGAAATCATCCCACCCTGCCTCACCCCGGGGGGCCACCCTGAAGACTCACAGATGTGAGTCTGTGAAAGAGATGGAGGGAAAGAGTGTCCTATGTCACACAGAGGACAATTATCAGGCATCGTTTATTCCCTTTCTTTTCCTTCTAGCATCCCTAAGAGGGAACAAGGACCAGAATGATTTATGCTCTTTTCACTGATGAGGACACTGAGGCCCAGAGAAAAGTTATGAAGTATGTGGGGAGTCAGGATCTCCTAAACCAGTCCAGAGACTGAGGTCTCCAAAATAAAAGGTTCTTATGAACTCCACGGAGGCTGCACAGGCTCACCACTGACTGGAGGCCCCCTTCTTCCACCCCACCCCACATCACAGGGTCAAGTCCAAGTCCTGATCCACCAGGACATCCCCTCGTTTTTCTACTGCAGGGGCCAGAGGCCTTGAGGATGCACTTCCCAAACAGTGCTAGGTCTCTCAGCACATCAGCACTGCCTAGAATACCAAAGGGAAAGCCAGTGGCATCCCACATTCCCCAGTGCCACAGAGCATTCCAGAGAATCTTGTGGTAGCAACATGAACCTAAGTGTCTTTGGCAGATAGACCTGAGCTTGAATCTCAGCGCTGTCACTTACGTGTGACCCTGCTAAGCCACTCACCTTCAGGAGCCACCACCTTCTCTGGGTCCGCTGGGGGTACGACAGCTCAATGTGGATCATGAGGGTGGACAACGAGGGCTGTAAAGCACCTGACACATAGTAGGAGCTCAGTGAACAGTGGCTACCATCATTCCCCCCAGGCCCCAGGGCCCCCCGAGTCTCTTTTCTTTCTTACCAGCCTGCCCACACAAGATCCCCTCTGTCCCCATTTTCAGAGGCAAACATTTACCAGTCATCTACTGTTCCACAGGACGCACCAGGCCGGCCACTCCAGGGGATAAAATGGCAAGACTGTGCCCTGCCTTCAGGTGCCCAGCAGCTCACGCTCTTTCCTAGTCCCCTCAGGCACCATCGATCCTGGTCACCTCTTGTCTCTGTAGTCGGTCCCGCAGCCCACCTCTCACCATGGCAGCCCTGATCGCCGAGAACTTCCGCTTCCTATCCCTCTTCTTTAAGAGCAAGGACGTGATGATTTTCAATGGGCTGGTGGCACTGGGCACAGTGGGCAGCCAAGAGCTGTTCACTGTGGTGGCTTTCCACTGCCCTTGCTCGCCAGCCCGGAACTACCTGTATGGACTGACGGCCATCGGTGTGCCCGCCCTGGCGCTCTTTCTCATTGGCGTCATCCTCAACAACCACACCTGGAACCTAGTCGCTGAATGCCAGTACCGGAGGTCCAAGAACTGCTCGGCTGCTCCCACCTTCCTCCTTCTAAGCTCCATCCTGGGCCGCGCGGCCGTGGCACCAGTCACCTGGTCTGTCATCTCTTTACTGCGCGGTGAGGCCTATGTCTGTGCTCTCAGTGAGTTCGTGGACCCCTCCTCTCTCAAAGCTGGGACAGAGGTCTTCCCATCAGCCCATGCCACAGAAATCCTGGCCAGGTTCCCTTGCGGGGAGGGTCCTGCCAACCTGTCAGCCTTCCGGGAAGAGGTCAGCCGCAGGCTCAAGTACGAGTCCCAGGTAAGGCTGTGCAAAGGGAAGCTTCTCTTCTTTCTTCCCTAGGTGGTGGGAGGTGGAGACGTGCCAGCATGGCCTCCTGTTAAAGCTGGGGTTAGTCCTCAGTGGCCGAGGTCTCCAGGAAAGCACTAGATTATCAGTGTCAGGTATCGGAGCTGAGTAACCTCTGGGTGAGTGCCTGTGGGACATGGGTCAATTCTAGTCCCAAATAAGAGTATTAAATGTTCAAGGAATGATCTGGCTTAGACTAAGCCTTGACTCCAGTCACAGATTAAGCCCCTTACTGACAAACCCCTGCAAGCCTATGAAACATTTGCTGTCAACCATGAGTGGAGAGTAGGGCATGGCTGGCTCCAGGGACGAGCATGGAAGGGCCCCTGCCCAGCACTGTGATCAGCCTCAAGCATAGCTGACATAAGAGGAGTTCCTTGAGCCGGGAAGGGGAGTCAAGTCAGGAAGCAGCACCTGCTGCCCTGATCCTGGCCTCAGCTTTGGCTTAGCTCTGAGGGAGTGGAGGTTGGTCAGGGAAGAAAGGGAGAGCGCAGAGACCTGGGCAAAAACAGGAAAACTGAGCTGGCAGCGTTAACAGAGAAGCAAGGGGTGAGGGAGAAACAGGAAAGAGTGTAAGATTTTTAAAGGGTCTCTCGCTGGTACATAAGAAACACAAGTAGAGAGAAAAGCAGGGCTGGAGACAGCACCAAAGGAGATGGAAGATGGAAGACATAGAAATAAAGTTTATCTGATGATCAAATGCCCACAGATCTCTGTACAGTATCGAACGGGAAAACAAAGATGACCTCATCTGTCCTAGCCCTCAGTAAGCTCACACCCAAGTGAGCATTTGAGACAAGCACATGGGTGATTTCGAAACAAGGCAGAGAGAGTAAGAGGAACCAGGCCATGGGCTACTCAGGGAAGGCAAGGTTGCTCCCAGAGTGGCCTTTGAAGACTTCCTAGAGGTGGCAGTTTGAGCTGGATTTTGATGGGCTGAGATGACGTGGAGGGGGGTCCTTGGGGCTGAAGGAATGGCAGCAGAAAATGCGGGAGACCAAGTCTAAGAGAGAAGGTGAGTTCAAGGGTGAGGACAAAGCGGTGAAATTATAGCCAGAAGGGCCTGCTTCCCTCACAGAAGCAGAATCTTCAGCCAGGAAAGTGACAGAGCTAGTTCTCAGGGTGCTCTGAGGCCCAGTCAGCCCACCCCAGCCCCCCAACCAGTTCCTATCACCCTGGGTGGCGGGGGGTGGGTGGTCCAGGCAGATCCTTGTCCCTCCTCAATGCTGCCCCTTCTCTGGCCAGCTCTTTGGGTGGATGCTCATCGGCAGCGTGGCCATCCTGGTGTTCCTAACCAAGTGCCTCAGGCATTACTGCTCGCCACTCAGCTACCGCCAGGAGGCCTACTGGGCACAGTACCGCGACAATGAGGACCAGCTCTTCCAACGCACCGCCGAGGTGCACTCCCGGGTGCTGGCCGCCAACAACGTGCGCCGCTTCTTTGGCTTCGTGGCACTCAACAAGGACGACGAGGAGCTGGTGGCCAAGTTCCCAGTGGAAGGCACACAGCCTCGGCCACAGTGGAACGCCATCACCGGTGTCTATCTGTACCGCGAGAACCAGGGCCTCCCCCTCTACAGCCGCCTGCACAAGTGGGCCCAGGGCCTGACCGGCAACGGCACAGCCCCGGACAACGTGGAGATGGCCTTGCTTGCCTCCTGAGGGTCGTTCTCACGCTCTGGAAATGAGTCCTTGGCCCCTAACTGAACCCCACTGCCTGCTCACATCAGCTTGACGGGGATTTTTTTTTTTTTTAACCATAACTTTGTGAAAAAACAGGCCAAGAGAAAGGAACACAAAGTAACGGGGTATAGAGAGAGCTATGCGCTCAGCTGTGACAGCAAGGCTCTCAGACCTGAAGAAATCCCCTCTCCTGTTGCCACTAGCCACTTGGTCAACAGCTTTGGAGGAAAGACCCTTTCCCAGAAGTGGTCCTAAATTAACTATGACGTGGATGACCTTTTACTGGTGGGACTCCAAGGCCGAGGAGCCTTGGCAGCAGAGCCAGGTGACAATGAAACTCACCAGCAGGCTCTCAGTATAGGATACCATGCAGTTAATTTGTGTAATTGCGTATGGACACCCAGCTCAGTGGTGCTCAGCCGGGAAGCTGCCCTCCAATGTACGCCACTGGCTTTATGTTTACATTTTTGATAAAGCTTTTCTTAGTATAAAGGACTAGCGTGGTGTCTGCATGATTGGGTGGGCCGCACCACAGCAGATTGGTGGTCACGCAGACAGGCCCAAATCCCATCCCCTGTGGGAGGAAAGGGGACACAGGACTCTGCGCAGAACTATAATGGACGGAAGCGGGGACAGGGGTGCAGGGACAGTCAGGTGTTCCAATGGAGCCTGAGCTTTCTCAGAGGGTAGCTCAGCTTCAAGCTACACTCCGTAGAGCAGACTGGTTCTTATAACCTAGTGCTAATAACCAAGAACCAGGCCAGCCCGGCTTGTCCCTTCCTCCCATGCCCGCCCTGGCCTGATGGCCTCCACCACCGCTAAACCGTTTGATGCTCTCCCTTGTCCCTGTCCTGCTTCCTGGCGTATGACTCGGTATTTCCCACAGAAAAAGTGTTCCAGCTCTCAGGACATTTAAAACTCTTGCCAAAGAAAAATTTTAATTTCTCTTAAGACCAAGCCAAAGAACTGGCTCCTATGACTGGCTGGGTCTGTGCTGGCCTCCCAAGAACTCTGGAACATCCAGTTATTACTTATCAAAAGGGGCAGGGGACTGTCTTCCTAGGAGTTTTACAACAGAATGATCGCAGGGAGGTATGGGTGTGGCGGGCCCATCAGGTGTCCTCTCCCTCAGGACTCAAGGAACAACCATCAAGTCAACCAATGCCCTCCACTCGGCAACCTCTCCCCAGAGGAGCTAGAGACACACAGAAACTGTGCGGCTCTCCCCAAAGCCACAGGCCAGTCTAGGTCCTCACTGAGCCTCCTACCTGCCAGGCCTTGTGGCAGCACAGCATACATCCTCTCGTTTCATCCACAGAATCACCCTTCAAAATAGGACTTCTTAACCTCATTTCACACATGAGGCACCAATGTGGAGAGGTTGGGTCATCTGACCCTAGTGGGCCTGGGAGGAGATGTCACCAGGTGGTTTACGCCAATACCTGTGGCTTTCCTCTCAAGCACCCAGGTTCCCCAATTTTCCCTCCAGGCTCTGCCTTTGTCCTCATGGCCTCCACAAATGGACACAAGACCAAGCTGAGCTGAGGCTGAGGGAATGCCCAGAGACTCCAAGCTCTAAAGGAGAGGGCCTGCTCCCCGGAACCTGCTGACCCCTTCTGGCTGGACCAAGAGCCTGCCAGGGTCAAAGTGGGATCCTGACCACAGGATTGTCAGGAGTCAGCCCCTCCATTCCTGCTCCCCAGGGAACTCCCACGAAGGACAGACCCTCAGCTTTTCTCGAGCCTGCAACCACTAAGCAGCCTCAGAAAAGGAAAAAGATGAAATTGCTACTTGAAACAAAATAAGCAAAGAGAAATTATAAGAAATCGCAAATTCATTTTTATTGTAACAGGATTACCCCAGAGGTGCTGCAGAAAAAGCAGCACTTAAATACAGTCCTCAGGCAATATATTGGGTTGTCGGAAAAGTCATAATGTATTTTTTCTATGTTTTTCGTTGCAAAAATGCATCATGACTTTTCCAACAACCCAATAGTTTTCAACCGCCCAGGGGCCTGAGGTTCGGCAGGCTGGCCCTGCTGACTGGCTGTCTGAGGACAGTGGTGTCTGAGGACAGCAGCTGCCACTAGTCCTCCAACACGGAGCTCTTAGCCTCCACGTATTCCAGGGCCTTTGCCTTCACTGCCTGCACGTCCTTCTCGGTGCCGTGTTGCTTCTCATAGTCCAGGTAGCGCTTGAAGAAGAATTTCATTCGTTTGGGGGCCAGACTCAGGTGAATGACCCGCTCGAAGATGTCCCTGTGAGGAAGAGCAGAGCAGCATTTGCCTCTTGGTCCCCGACTACAGGATTCCCGGCTTTCTCCCACCTGTTCTCAGGTTCTGGAGCTGGGCCTTCTGTTGTCAGCACTCCCCTTTCTATCTTTACTTTTACTACCATATTAACTCCCTCATGTCCCCTGGGAGAGAGAAACCACCACTCTTACTTTGCAGATGAGCAGACAGACACCCAGAGGTGTGAAAGGGCTTACTGGCCTGAATCAGGACAGTGCTACCGGGTTGAGAACACAAATGGGGTATGGATCTGTGAGAAAAGCTCTGCTTAAAACGCACTGATGGGCTTGGGTGAAGCATTAGTTCTTTCTGGACCTCAGTCTATCCACGCCCAATCCTCCCTGCCATGTGAATGCTGCTGGACAACACTGAGCTTATGCCTGCGAACATTCTCTACAATGAGAGCCAGGCAGGCACAGTGCTATTATGAGGGAAACCCAAGTCTCCTGACCCCCAGCTGGCGGCCAGCCTACCTCCCACTCAAAGTTCCAGACAAAGCCCAGAGGCTGGCCCCTGAGACAGAAACAAGCTGGAAAAGTAAATGCCATAGGACCTGGAGTGTTATGTCAAAGCTGCTTTTCCAGATAGAGTATGACAACTATGGATGCTGGGAGCTGCTGTGGAGCTCAAACTCATCCGCTTGGCCAATGTCCCCACCCCCAATAGGGAATTCGGCCCCAATCTGCCTCCCCCTCTCACCGGACTTCCTTCTGGCTGCCATGCTTGATGGTCATGTCGATGTAGACCGACCAGACATCTGTGCGCTTTGGGTAGGTGCTCAGCGTGTTCTCGAAAATGGCTTTGGCCCGCTCTGCATCCCCCAGCTGGAACTCAAGCTGGGCAAACTTGGCAATTACATCCACATCTGCAGAGAGGGAACAGCTCAGAGTACAAAACAGACCCCTCACCACACACCATGTGCTGCAGGGAGAGTCTGACTCCTGACTCCCTGCTCGTGGGTCCCAAGACCTGGGTGGTGAGAAGAGGGACAGTGCGGTGGGGTTAGGGCCAAATGCACAGATATACAATGATCTATGACTCCCACTGCAGGCACCCTACTCTCTGGGCCCAGAAAGGGCAGGGGGGCAGGGGCAACAGCATTAGAGCGAATTGCTTTTTGTTCCTCCATCTTCACAGTCTAGCATTTGAAATGCAACACGCGTTATGTTATGACGTGTAATCAACAGAGATAGCCAAGTACCCTCCACGAGGCTTCCTACCACCACCCTCAGGTGAGGAGACCCACAATCCCCACGTCCAGACATGTGAGAGCCTAATGTGTTCAGGAATTGGGCCGGTAGGCAGAAATGCGCACTCACGCTCTTTATTCGGCAGGCGTTCAAGGGCTCGCTGCATCACACGGTGACTGGCCCCTGCCTGGCCCCTGCGCAGAAGAAAGGCGCCATATTTGATCCACACCGTTTTCTCCTGCCGGAAACGCTTCAGCATCCGGTTGTAGAGTTCACTGGCTTCCTGTGGGGAAGACAAGGCAAGCTGAGGCAAGTGTGATGTAACAGAGGGGGCTACAGGAAAGACAGGCAGCTCTGCTCATGAGAAGCTCGACGTGGGCGCAGAGGCTCCCATCATGATGCAGGCTCACTTCTAGATACTGAGGGGAGCGGGCAGGCTCACAGAGGTGAGCAAGCCTAACGTGATGGGCAGGCTGCCTACTAATCCGGTGCCCGTGACGGGGTCCTGAGACTAGAACTGGATCCAGAACATGGGGGTTCGTCCTGGAGACTTCCTTGCTGCCTCTGTGACTCCCAGGAGTCAGCTTCTGAGTGGCTGGGTACCCTGTGACAGTAGGCCACCTGGCCCAGGCTCCTACCTGGAACTTCTCCGACTTGGTGTAGATGTCAGCCAGTTGGAGAAAGACCTTGAGAGGCTCACTGTACTGCACGGCCCGCTCGAAGACCTTGGTCAGTGACTCCTGGGAGCCATACATGTTTTCTAGGTTCAGCAGTGCCACCCACACGTTCAGCTTCTCCTGCTCCTCTCTGGAGGGAGAGCAGTCAACACATGAGCTCCATCATTTCAGCCCAAAGAGTCCCCCATGGCCCCAAGGGGATGCCAACCTGAACTCCATCCTCCTTACCAGGTTCTATCCATGTCCTCCGTTTCCACTGCCAAGTGCAGGCACTGACAGGCCCTGTCCCCACTGCAGCTCACAGAAGCAGAAACCCCAACCCCATGATTGCCAGGTCTGGAGCTCCCAGACAGAGGCTCTACCTGGCTCTACCTCCTTTGCTAAGAAGGAAGCCTACCAAATCTCAAACTGGCCTGAGGTTTGAGCTGGAAGGAGCAGAATCTCTGGTCTGTTTCTGTGCCCAAACTAAGAGAATGAAGCAAAGGAGAGCCATCCCTTCTTCACTAACCTTCAGGAGACTCACTCTACTCTCTGCCTGAAAAATAGCCACCTACAGGATTTTTACCTAGGTATGCGGTGAGTTGTATTTTCTATTCTACTTTTGCTCCAAGCTGGGCATCTTAAGTTAGGGACGCTTGTAAATTACCCTTAGCTATTTCAGTGACGAGGACTATAAAATATAAATGAGCAGATCTATTTCACAGATGGCACATCTATGAGACAGTCTGAGAACCCCTGTGCCCCTGGTGTCTGTCACCCCAGCTGCAGTCGGCATGCCGAGGAGGAAATGACCCACAGGTGGCAAGCCCTACAACCTGGGGAGACACACCTCTCCCTGTCAAAAGATGGCCCCCCCCCCCTTAAAGTAGAGGGGACAAAGGTGAGACCTGAAGGAGATGGTCTTGAGCGCCCTCTCGGCCACAGCCCGGGCCTTCTCGATTTCCGTGGCCTGCAGGTGGAAGGCCATGTACTGCAGCCACAGGATGGAGCTGTTGGGGGAGCTCAGCACCAGTCGGTCAAAATCATCTGCTGACTCTGGCTGTCGCCTGGGATCCATCAGCGCCTCCTCAATGCGGGACAGCTCTTTCTCCGCCTTCTGCTTCTCCAACTCCCTTTCCTTCTTGCTTTTCTTCTGCTGTGCAAGAGAAAAATAAGTGAGTAATCTGCTCCTCTGACCCTGGGGAGGTCTGTGGTGGAAGCTAAGAATTGGCTGGGCAGTTCCAGGGATCTATAAATACTCCTCGGCCTGAGACCGCCCCACCCAGCCAGACATGACACCCATGGAGCACAGGAGACAGACACCCAGGGGTCCCTGCAAAAAAGGACAAAGGCCTGCAATATACGACACCGTGGCTTGTTGTGGCTTCTCGTCCTCCTCGCTATCTGAGCTATCTCCTCGAGGTGGCAAGGCCGGGGTCAGAGAGTCCAGCCCCACGTCCCAAACGAAGCTGGAAGACAGTTGCAGCCGGGGTGCTTCTGCGGGCCTGGTCGGCTTCTGCTGGAGGATCAGAGAGGCACGTGAGGAAAGGCCTTGGCTCAGACTGCGCCCTGTACCCCAGCCCCACCCCACTTGGAGGAGCAGGGACTTCCACCACGCCCAGAGGACCTTTCCCTCCTCCCAGGGCCACACTAGGCCCTGGCCCACTGGGAAACGTACAGGAGTGACAAAAAAGTTTTCTTAGTAAATAAATTCATTTAGGTAACAACTTCTTAACATATATGTATGCATGTACATATACATACACACAAAAGTATAAAATAATAACCAAGCTAGGACAGAGATAAGACAAATGTTCTGAGGGTAATAGGGATACGATACCTAAGTCTGGGAAGCCTTTCCATACCCAGTCCTCAGTTCATGCAGCACTGTGCTCATTTTTTCAGAGGGACACTCAGGCTCGGGTAGGTTAAGCCTCCTCTTTACCTGCCCATCCCACTAATTTAACTCAGTTCCATTCAATAAATTGTAATTTAATTCTGACTGCAATTTATTTTAGGCAACACACTCTATAGGTAAGACAGGGTCCCTGACCTCAGGGAGCTGATGACCAGCTGAGGAAAGGAACAGCCCCAACTTCTCATCTTACAGGAAATGAGAGAGAAGACGATGGTGCCAAAGACAGCCCAGCTTCTAGGCAGGAGTCAAGGACCTCCCTCCCACAGCAGCCTTTCCTCCCCCATTCCACGCTGTCCCGCACCTTGGGCAGCACACGTGTCTCTTCTATCTCTTCTTCTCCTTCCCGATAATATACTTCAACACCACTGTCATCCTCCTCCGACGGAGCGGCTTTCTTTTGCTTCTTGTTCACTCGTTCCTGAGATGACAGGTGGGAAAATGCTGAACCACCCTTCTTGCCCAAAAGCCCTTGGGCAGCTGAGGGTAAGGCCTCCCTCTGCCCGCCCCGGTACCACACAGTGCCCGGCTTCCAAACTCACACTGCTCTCGGTCTAAGAGAAGGCGAGGCAGCTGCCTGGCTGGGCTTTGAAACGCCCTCCTTTTCCTGTGACGGGGGCCATCCTCCCTGGGGATGTACCTGCTCGCTTCCAGACTCCAGGTGTGGCCGCCTGCCCTGCTCCTGCGCTTGGGATTCCTGGGGCTCCTTCTCCTCCTTGCTGGGCAGCGGCGGCTCCTCTTGCCCCTTCCGGTTTCTCTTCTCTCTCTTTTTCTGGTTCTTCTTCTGCTCCTTCTCTTCTCCTTTGTGGTCTCTCTCCTCTGCCTCTATTTGCCGCCCCTCTTGCTTCGGAAGTGGCAGTCCCCGGGAGGCAGAAAGCACGTCCGGCTTCCCCGTGTCGCCGGGGAGGAAGGACAGCTCTACCAGGTTGTTCTGGTGGTTCACGCTATGACAGGGAGAGGGGAAGGATGGACGACGAAGACAACACACAGAGTACAACAGGCACAGCAAGCAGCCCGGGCCTGCCTCTCCTCATCAGCCCACAGCTTCCGGGGCTCTGCCCGACCGCCCAAGGATCCGTTTAGTCTTTCCAGGAACCGTTTAAATATTTTCCCGGCCTTGTTAGAAAACACCGGGGGCGGGCAGGATTGCCCCCTTACTTTGTCCCAACAAGTGGCTTAGGCGGAAAAAAATCTTCCCCACCTCTTTTGGGAACCGGAGGAAAAGGCTTCAAACAAAGGGGCTTTTTTCATCTGAACACTGCACTCACTCACCACTACCCAAGCTGTTAGGTATAAAGTTTACATCTGAATCTCCTCCCAGAGAAAGGGGTGAGGGGGTTGGGAGGGAAGAAGGTACCTACCTTAGGACTTTGGCTGTGAGCAGCTTCCCTTCGGGGAGGTATTTGTTATAAAGGGCTTTCTGGGGTGAGCTGTGCTGGGAGACATGCGGGTACTGGGCCAAACCCACAACTGAAGGGCCAAGGCTGAGAGGAGAGAGACAAGGGTCCTGTGGTCATAAATACAAGAATAGAGTCCCAGCACCCCCGCTTTTCCAGGGACACAAGTTGTGACCAGGATTCGCAACAGACGTAAGTTCCTGGCATTCAAAAGGATAAAGAGGGCTTTGTAAACTGGAAAAAATTATCAAGCACACTGAAAATACAATTGAAGGGTATTTTTCACCCCACACCAGAGCATCACAATGTAGAAATCACAAACTGCTAGAAAGACAAGAAGATGATGAGGAAATAGAACAGCAGAGAAAGCTGTAATATCTGGTGGTTGTGAACATTATATGATTTCACAGAAGATTTACAAATCATAATCAAACACCAAATCAAAGAAAATCCAAATGTATTTAAAACTGATATTAGACATGCCACATTCTTTGTCCAAAACACCAAAAAAAAAGAATAATTCGAAACTTTTTTAGAAGTATAAAACAACTTGGAATTTAAAAAGCTAACGGCAACACACTGACTCTCGTTCTTTGTTCCCTTCGGGGAAGCTGACCGAGGAACGCAGCAGACCCCGGACCAGCACAAGCCCAGAAAAGACCCTCGGGCCTGGCCCACAGCCCCAGCCCCCACCTCACTCACCTGAAGAGGATGCCGTGCGGCTGGACGGACTTCACGTAGCCCCGTAGGAGCTGCCCTTCCTCAACGTCCTGGATGGAGTTAATCTCAGGATCTGGTATTTTGCTTTTTGTCTCCGGGTTTGTCCTAAAGGAATAAAAGGCTTACATACACATACCTCTAACCCTCTTTTCCCCACTCTCACCCCCCAGTTTACCTGGGATAATCAAACTTTATATGTAAGAATATGACTCTGGACCTGTCAATAAGATACAACCTTCAGAGCCCAGCCCTACTCTCCACTGAAGTCCTGTCAGCTGGGGACCCGTGTCTATAAGACAGCTATGAAGAAAAAGAGAGAGTCTGACCAAGCCAGACGGAGGTCACACCTGAAGCCTTGGCCGTATAAACACCCATTGTTAACCATGACGCAAGCTGACCCCAGGCCAATCCATTTCACAACACACTCGGCCCTACTATGGAACCTTGGGGGCTAAGTCATCTCGCCTCACCAGAGCCACCATCTGGCAACTTTGAACACCCACGTTTGGGTATCTGAACCTTTCCTAGGAAACAAGAGCCTGAGCACCAGGTTCTTCCAGCAATCTGAATGTCCTCAGCTTTTCTGGATAAAAACAGGGCAGGGTACAAGGGCCAAACAGAGAGGAATGGTGAGAAGCCCAAAGGCTATGTCAGATCCACGTAGCCTCTCCTCACTCCTCTAAGTGGGTTCTCCCTGCTCATTTCAACACCACAGACACCCACCTGGATGATCGCAGCGACAAAGTCAATACAGGGCCTGCAGCGGACAGGACGTAACACCTGGAATGAGAGCAAAAGAGGAGGAAACACTGACTTTTCAGCATCTCAGGAGACGGCAAAGGGCCTCACCTTCACAAGGCTGACCAACAGGCCAGAGAAGGGGGCATGAGAACTGGGCTCTGTTCATTCTGTTGCAAACCTGCTGAGGGCCTCCAGACAAGTTGTGTCACTTCTCTGAGCCTCAGTTTACTAGTCTGTCAGGTAAAAATAGTACTACCTGCTTTTCTTACCCAAGAAGGTGCTGGGAGAAGAAAAAAAGAGACACAAAAGCCCTCTGGCAAATGCAGAGCCACGTGGTGAGTGTTTGGGAGACAAGCCCAGCCCTATGTCGGGTCTTGGGAGTGTGTGATCTCTGTGGAGAGACAGAGCAACCACAGGACACCGTGACCAGGGGATGACCTAGGTATGGCAGGTGCGCGGCAGCGGTTCAGAGCGGGCCAAGCAGTAAGGCCTGAGCAGGGGAGGCTTCCAGGATGTAAACAGGGTACTCTTTGGTCGGGTTTCCAAACTGATTTAATCTAAAACAGCAATTAGTAGCCCAAAGTTGCAAAGTATAGAATCTTAGCAGTAGAAAAGATCTCAGCAATGGTACAGTCCAAATTTTCCCCACAACAGGCATCTGCCTTTTATGACACGACATTATAGTCCCAAAAGCAGGAAAGGATCTCCAGGGACATCTACCTTTAGGCAACTAATTATTATCCACATATGACAGATCCTACAACGGAATGCTACTCACAGGTTTGGCTATCATAAAATCTGTTTAAAATAAATATTTTGCTAAAATTCACACCCGCATTTTAGAAGCCTCAAGAGACAAAGCAGAGATGCCCTTGGATTTCTCTCTGACTCCTCTTTTTCTTCTCCCAGGCCCTGGATATTTTTGTGCTGGTGATCTCTGATCAGTGGCTGGGAATTCAGACAGGGCAGGTGGCTGAGACATTTGAGGCGAGAAAGAGCAAATTACTGCTTTCCAGTCTCTGCCTCCTGAGGGTGTCTGCTTCATTGTTGACTAATTCTCAGGAGAGGTTTTACTGTATCGAGTTGAAATCTTCCTCTACAATGCTAGTTTATTCAGGCTATAAAATGATTTTTAAAATCTGAGGTAGGTCCATTTTTGTGCATCTAAGAGGTTCATAAATATTGGGTTGTCGGAAAAGTCATGACGCATTTTTGCAATGAGAAACAGAAAAAAATACGTCATGACTTTTCCGACAACCCAATAAATCACCCCTCAACTGCAAAAGGTTTCCATTCCTTTTACAGGGAACACTTACAGATCAATTTTTTTAAAATTAAAAAGATGAATGGTTCAGTATAAAAACGAGTAAGCAACTTGGACAAGGAAAGCACAAAACAAATGTAAACAGCCAATAAATATGAAAAATGACCATGCAAACATGAGAAATGCAAATTAAAATGAGAGATCAATTTTTTGCCTATTCGATGGCTAAGATTAAAAATTAAGACTATCCAGTGATGATAGAGATGCGAGAAATGGACAGTCATATTTAGTGTTAAAGGGGGTATACATTGGCACAGGCCTTTTGAAGGGCACTTTGACAAAAAGTAGAACATCATTTGACCAATTTTACTTCTAGGGATTTATTACACTGATATACTTGCACAGTATTGAAACATATGTGCAAAGATATTCCCTTCAACATCATTGTCCATCAGAATTTTAAATGAATTATTATAATAAAAAAACATACATAATGGAATATTGAAAAAAAAAATGTTCGTCGGACGAGTGGTTCAGTTGGTTAAGAGTTAGCTTAAGAGCATGAGCTCTGAGCAACAGGGCCGCCCGTTCGATTCCCACACGGGCCAGTGAGGCTGCACCTGAGCTGAGCTACTGCTGAGCTGCCAACAGGTGGCAGGATGGCTCAGCTGGTGAGAGCACGTGCTCCTAACAACAAGACTGCCTGTTCAATGATGGGCTACACCCACCTGCAACTAAGACTGAACTTGGCACCTTGAGCTGAGCTGCCGCCCAGATGGCTCAGTGGATAGAGCGTGCACTCTTAACAACAAGGCTGCTGGTTCGACTCCCGCATGGGATGGTGGCTATGCCCACCCGCAACTAAGAGTGAACACAGCACCTTGAGCTTTAGAGTCCACAAGCTGCCGGCGGGCAGCCAGATAGCAACTGGCGCCCTTCACAACGAAGAACAACAACTTGGCTGGTCCCCTTCCCCAATTCCCCAACACTGTTCCTCTCCCCCAATTCCCCAATTAAAAAAAAATGTTAAAAACAACGTAAAATAACTTGGTTGATTTAGATATATTATCATGGGAAAAGACAAAGTCCTGATAAAACGGCTATGAATAAAAAGCAAGTATATAAAATGAAATTCTATCATAGAAAGGAAAATTATACATATATGTGTTAAAGTCCTGAAAGATAGAGAGACCAAAGTGTATAATGGTGAAAAATTGTGGAGAAAGAGAGGAAAAATAGAAGTTTCCATTTTCTATACAATTTCTTTCTGGTACATAATCATGTTATTACCTTTACAATTAAAAAACAACATCAAAAACAACTACAAGCCCAGAAATATGAAAAGAGGAAGATAACTCAACCTACCTGACAATCTTCTGCAGGGTGAAGTCTTCCAGGGGCGTCTCTGAGTAGGAGTCACTCAAGTGAAATATGCTGACTCTTCCGATCTTCCCCAAGGGGAAGGAGACAGTCAGCCCCTTCTTGGGAGTCACCTTTGCCACTTGGCCCATGGCCACTTCCCCTTTCTCAAGTTTGTGAGGACCTGGTAGGAGAATGAACCTGATTCAGGGAAGAAAGAATGAACCACGAGAGAAGCTGGAATGCTTGCCAACCACAGGCTGGGGAAGGTGGAGGCCGCCCAGACCTGGGGTGTCTAGGATGAGTGGACTAGGACAATCACAAAGACCCAGATTACCATGCCATGTAGTCAAGAATCCCAGGGCTAAGCCTCAGGTAGTAGTGGAGTAACACAGGCCAGAGAGCAGGGCCCCAACAGAAAAACTGTTCCAAGAAAGTACCAAGCACACAGGCTTTCTGAGGACTCCAATACCGAAAGCATCCTTCAACCTGGGCAATAAATGAAGACACCTCCCCACTCTGTCCTCCCCGCCTCCCTTCCCTGACCAGATACCATCTCATCACCATACCTATGAGTGAGAGACACAAGAAGGCCTTGGAGGAATCTCGGCCAACCACAGTGGCCTTCAAGGCTTGGCCGATCCGGAACTTCTTATCTGGATGTTTCAGAACCTGGAAGGTCAAGAGAAGTCCTCTGATGTTTGAATAAAGGTCTATCATTTATTCAAACCACACAGCATTTAAGTCTCCATAGTAAGTATCTCCCAAACAAATCCCTGCATAAGCACATGGTTCTTTCTACCCACTGTGAACACACAGCAGACGTACAGCTGAGCTTAGGGAGCCTGGGTTTCCTCTCCAGGGCTCTTCAAGCACACTGACCTTGAAGCTGAGAGAAGTGAGCAACATGGGAACTCTCCCCCGGATGTCTGGAGCAATCTCCACCTCAAGCCATTTCTTAACCACGTTGTACTGGTGGGAGAAAAACAGGAGGAATGGAATGGGGCAGATACAAGCATTTCTTCTTTTCCCTTCAATAAAACATAGACTTTTCTAAAATCCCATGGCTGAAAGAGCCCTAATCCTACACTTTTCCAAGGGATAGGAAGCCACCCCTACATCCAATTGCCCCTGCCCAACTCCACTGAGTCTAGCTCAGAGCCCTCTCTAGCCCAGAAGGATGTGCGTCCTTCCTGGTGCCTCAGCTGAGAGAGGCCCGCAAGCAGCAGAACCAATCCCGCTGACTTCTGCAGCCTCCACCAAGCTCAGCCGTGCCCAGAGACTGTTAACCAGATTGAGTGGCCAACATCTTATTTCTAGACCAATTATTTTGATCCTTCACTATTTACACAATGTTCTGCCCTAAACACACACCCCAATGTTCAAGTCAATGTAACAAAACATTTACCTAACAGCCATTATGCACATGGCATGATAATGATAAATAAAAGCCAGGCCCTGTTTTCAAGGAGGTAACAGTCTATAAAGAATAAGTCAGGTGAGTATGTGAATAACTAGAGCAGCTAGCAACATGTGGGAAGTACAATATGCTATGAGAATATATAGGAGAACTACTGGGTTGTCGGAAAAGTCATGATGTATTTTTTTCTATGTTCTTCGTTGCAAAAATGCATCATGACTTTTCCGACAACTCAATAGTAATAAGGGTTATCTGTGCTGGATCTTGAAGGATTATAGGCAACAGGAATAGAGGGCACTCCCAGGGTAGAAATAAAGGTAAGAAAGGAAAAAGAGGAGGTTTTCAGCGTGACTGGTACACCAGATTTGTGAGGTTAGATTATGAAGAGCCTTACATAGCACCCTAAGGCATCTGGGGTGTATGGGTGTGTGGAATGCCTACAGACAAGTAGCTAAAGAGCTCAAGCATCAGTGACTCGCTCATATAGATACTTATGGCAGCAATGAAGAGGGGTTATTCCTCAAGGTCAAGCCCAGTCCAACTTTCTTTCTGATATCGCCAAACCAGTATCATTCTCACTGATCTCTTCCCGTTTTTAAACTCCTGTGCCATTTGGGGTTAGAACACAAAATCTGGCACCCAATTACACGTTGTTTTGCATCACATTGGTCCTTTATGAAAGAATCTAAAATCTAATGCCACATTTATTTTAAATCTTCCTCTGATGTATTTTTCTTTCCATTTTGTACAATTAATCTATAAACATGTTGACTTGCGAGTTGCTTGCTAACTGTTTCATAAGTCATAAATTTAGCTCCTCAATCAAAAATTTTCTAGGAGCAGAGGCCTTATAAATCACCTTCCACAGGCCAGCATTGTAGCAAACACAGAACCAAAGCCTAGTGCTAATGGCCCTTGTTTCCAGCTTCTCTTTTTCTTCTGAGAAAAAAATGGATTGCATTGCATGGCGTGCACTACTCACCTTCTTGAAGAAGCAAGTCACAGTCTGACCAGTCTGATACTGTTTAATCTTCTCCAAGGGGCTAACAGAGTGAGTGTTGAGAGCAGTGTGACCACCCTTCTCCAGCTCACTGTTTGTAGGAAGGCAATGGAAAGAGTAAACCAACCTCTGGATAAGCTTCTTGCTTGAAACCATCTTCCCATCAGCCATGGACTGATCGCACAGGACTCCCCAAATCATACACACCCTCCACGCCCCCATTTCTGTGGAACGTTCATGACACCTGCACAAGAGCTCATCTTTTCCATTTCACTCACGTTGGTATGAACAAGCTGTAAAGTAGGTAGCCTACAATAATCTTTATAAATCTGGAAACAAAATTGTTTTACTTCTTTCATAATACTTTAGCTATTGCTTTAGTTTGCAGAGTGCTTTCACAAGTAATCTCTCACTGAACGGGACAACACTCATGTGTGAACTGGGCAGGATAAGTATTATTAAACTCATTTTATGCTACTGAACCAGGAGGTGAAGTCAGGGCTCTATACCCTGTGCTAGCTTAAAAAATTATAGAACATAACCAATAGTGTTGAAACTAAAAACAAAATGGGCATAGAGTTTCAATCACGTAAGATGAAAAATTTCGAAAGGCCTCTTATACAACAATGTGCATATGGTTAACAATACTGTAATGTACACTTAAAAACAGTTAAGGGTAAATTTATATTATGTGTTTTTATCACAATAAAACAAAAAAGGGAGGACATTAAGACACAGAAATACACAAAGGGGAGACCATGTGAAGACACTGGAAGACCACCACCACGCACCATTCAAAGAAAGAAGCCTCAGAAAAACAAGCCCTGCCGACACCTTGATCTCAGATTTCTAGCTATCAGAATTGTGAGAAAATAGTGTCAGCTGTTTAAGACAAAAACACACAAAACACAAACACACACACACACACACACACACAACAGGTATGTGTTATCCTTTTTTTTTCCCCAAAATGACTTTAAACTGCGTCTCTAAAAAGAATAACCACAAAAGAAGGTTTGGCACAACTGAATTAATAAGAGAGCTCCATATATAAGTGAGAAATAAAAATATGACCACATTTCCTCAGTAAGTCAACACCATCAATTACATAAATGTGTTTCCTCCTAACTTCAAAATATGTATTTTAAAACATAAGCCTTAGAGAAATATGGCAATAATTCCACTATTGTGTTTATATTATGCTTCTCGGGGGCCTTGATTAAAATAATAACACAGGCGCGTGGAAGAGGTGGAAGATGTGCTAGAGTTTATATGTCCATCTCATCAGTTATCATAATTCTCCATCCCACACTACTCCATATATGCACTCATTTCCTGGTCTGGCCCACATTGCTGTAGTCAAGTACCACCACTGCAGTTCACACCACAGTCTCCCAAGACAGCAGAGTGAGTTAGTAAGCGGTTCTAGCACTCTGAGGGTCAAGAACCATTTAGGATCGCAGTGTGTTTTCTCTTGCAGTGTTCATTAATTTAAGATACCTACTGTTAGCTTGCATAAACTATTGTACTTAACCTCAACCCTTAATTAAACAAGACATCATCACTCCTCAGAGGTGAAGATACTGCAAAATAAAATGACTAATATGATGACATCTCTTTGTTTTCAAAACCAAGACTGGAGGGGGACACAATCAAAATCTACAAAACTAGGGAGACCAGATTAAACAAACAGAAATCTGAATTCCACCAATCTCATAATTCTGGAACTAGCGGGCTTACTTTGAAGTTCCAAGAGTGTTGTTAACATCTGGAACTCAATATTCCAGGAATATTTCCCTATCTCAGACACCAGCGTCTCAGAAATATTCCATTTCTATTCTAATCCCTTCAGGACACTGACCAAACCTTACCCCCTGAAAGTTACGTAAGAGGTCCTTCCATAACAACCCTAGGCACATAAGACTTACAACCTGGATGGATACCAGGGCTGACCCTGCAGAACCATTTTCACAATCATGTGTGCCTAGCTTCATTCGTTGATGGCTTAACAATTCTGAGAGGCTGAGGGTTTTTTGTTTTAGTTTTATGGAGGAAGCAGATAGGCCCATAGATCAAAATGCTTAAGATCCTCTGAAAAAATGAACCCAAACAAACTGGACCCACTGCTACATGGAACTACTAGTTCTCTACTCAGAACCCCTCCTGGAACACTCTGCAGAATCCACTAATGCATGACTTAAAATTCCAGAGAACAGGTACTCTTGGCTACATGCTGCTTATTTAGGAATTACTGAGTTCTAGAAAATTGGGTTGAGAGCAAAAATATTTCATTTTGTTACATGCCTACAAACAGAACTGCTATCAAGCCTTTAAAGAATACTTAAGCCCTGAATACAGCTTTTACATTAATTTTCACATAATCCCATTAACTAGCCCTCTGAGAGCCAAATATCCCTAACAGAGAAATAAGTCAACCTGGACTTATTTCCAGGTTGCAAATTCCAGGTTGCTTTGAGAGGCAAAGGGAAGTCACAACACTGGGACATTTAAGACTAGAACTCAAATTCCTGACTCCAAAGCCCAGTACTCTTTCCACAAGACCTCGCTAACCATGCTTATTGGAGACCCCTCACCTTGGCCGAATACTCAGCTCCGGGATGGTTCGAATGAATCTGGGATGACTTATTGGAAGAAACCTGGAGAAATAAATGAGGTCAAATGATTTCTTTTATTCTCTGTAACACCATACTCTGGAGATCAGTTTCTCTACATCCCACCAAACCAAGCTTAAAAAAACCACCTGCTCTATTGCCATGCTGTGACCCACTAGTGATATGTCAGGCCTGAGAGTTCCCATTCTCGTCCTTTGTGGCACATGCTAAGGAGCTGGTTCATCTGATCTTTTAGGATTATCATACAAAACCCTGAAAAGCATTGCCCTTACAGACTATATATTCCAACTCTTTCATTCTACAAATTAGGAAATTGAGGTCTTGAGAGAAATGACTTACTAAAGATCCCACAGTTACTGAAATTAATATGCAAATTACTGGCTAGACTTTGAATTCTTTTTTTTTTTTGCTTTTCTTAGTATAGCAAGGGTTTTTGGTTTTTTTGGGTTTTTTTTTTAGCTGAGCCATCCTGCCACCTGTTGGCAGCTCAGCGGCAGCTCAGTTCAGGCCGGGCATCGAACCGCTGTTGCATTAGAGCTCGCACTCTTGAGGGAGCTCTTAACCAACTGAGCCACTTGGCCGGTCCTAGTATAGCAAGGGTGTTTAATTTTTACTATAATAACATTGTAACAAGATTTAAAGTAAATGAGTATAATTAAGATAAGCAGGGGAGGATGAATTCTAATAACTGCGGATATATACACTGAGTAACTATTTGTCAGACAGCCTGTGAGGCACGTTACATACTATATGTTCTCTCAATCTTCACAAAGGCCATAAAAGGTAGTCACTACCACTACTCTGACTTTACAAATTAGGAAAATGAAACTCAGAGTAAAGTAACTACGTAACTCACGGTCACATAATTTTCAATGGCAAATCTGGAACTCAAACCCAGGTCTGACTCTAAACCAAAGCACTTAACCACAACACAAATACACTATTTTTTTAAAAGACATATAAAAGGATTCTTTGGTGAATGTTTTTGTAAACTAAAAGAAAATCTGACTCGTGCAACTTTTTGAAACTTGCCTTGGTTCCCATTCCTTCTCCCACAATTACAACAATCTCCCCTCAAAGCTGCCCATCCCCTAAAGCCTCCATACTTGAATGTCTTCATGTCTCGCCCGCCAATCACTCGGGCAGTGACCGTCTTCCCAACTTTCAGCTTGGCAGTAGGAGATGTGCCCTCTGGAACATCATCTAGAATGTGGGAGGCATGAATACAGCCAATGATGCCGTCTTCCAGGGTCACCACCACATGGGTGGGCTTAATGGACTTGACAGTCCCTGTGACCATGTCCCCAATGGACAGGGTGTGCTTCTTTATAGTCCCTACAACTATTGCTGGATCCACTTCATCGTCCTCGTCGACCGTCTCAGAGTCCTTCCGGGTCTGTCTCATGGTCCTCTTAGCAGCTGGCCCCTCAACAGCCAAAAGAAGACCGGTCACGCCCGGTTCTGTGGTCTTGAGGGTGAGGGAGACACCCTGTCCCACCTGCAACTTCTCCGAGTCAAAGCGGAAGGTGTCATTGAGGTGAGAGGTCAGGGAGAAAGCCGCCAGGTGGCCAGTCTCTACCAAGGAGGCAACGGCGAAAGACTCCTCCAAGTGCTGCACGATCGCCTGGTATTCACTGCCTTTCCTTAGCTGGAAAACAGAGGAAACCCACCACCCCACTTGGTATACAGCACACACACTCATTCATACACTGGGTGGGACTGGGGAAACCCCCTGGAGTCCAAGGGCCCCGAGGCTCGCCTGGGTTGTAACAAACTAGCCTCCACTTCTTCGACCTAGCTTTCCCCTCCTGGACACTGAGGTGGCTTAACTCAAAGTGCCACATCAGAATCACTTGGGGTTACCTTTCGTTTGGAATTCAGATTCCTAGGTCCTATCCTAGAACTAGTGAAATCAGAGTTTTAATAGGTAGTTAGGTGATTCTGGTGCACAGCCAGGTGACCTCTGATGGTCCTCCAGCTTTAAGACACTGTGACTCCTGACTCTCTCAGTCCTGCAGCTCTCCACCCAATTTATTTACTTCCATTCAACAAATTGAGTTATTACTGAAAGCTTACTGCATGCAAGGCATTTAGTCTATCTTCCCCAAACTGTGTTCATGTCCTAATATGCACTGGCTTCACCTAGATGATAAAATGGAGTAAGGACCTGCTAGAACACTTAATGAGGGTTTCTATTTCTCTTTGTCTCTCAAAGTTAAAATTATAAGCAACTAGAGGTTAAGGATTATAGCAATTTTCTGTACCATACCCTATGCAATTAGGTGCTTAATACCGTATTTTGCTGTGTATAATGTGCTCCCATGTATAAAATGTGCACCCATGTTTTTGGCCCAAACTTCCAGGGAAAACAATCTTTCGTTTTAATTTTTTAATTCAAATTTTTATTTGTTTACATTTAGGTACTTGTTTTTTGTATTATAAAGGAATTTTAGAATTCATTTTTTAACATATTATGGTACAAGAAATTTTATGTACCAGTAACAAATTTACGATCTTTATGCATCAAAGAAGGCCAAGAACTCTGTCATTGCAAGTTCGTCATAAGTTCAACAAAACCGATTATCATTTTCCAGGGTATTATTTTGCATATGGATATTGTTATTGATTTCTAGAGTTATACTTTTAACTCATAAGCATAAATAAAAGAATTTGAAACATTTATGTAGATATGGAATTAGTACTACCCACGTATAATGTGCATCCTTATTTTTCCTTCACAAATTTGGGCAAAAAAAGTGTGCGTTATACACGACAAGATACGGTACTTTAGACAATGACCAAATATATATGGTATCCAGAAAAAAATACTACTAATTTCGAGATTTCCCTCAAATCCATTCTTTTCTCACACACAAGTGTTCAGGAGAGGGGACACTGAGCAGTCTGGATCAGAACTACTCACAGGCATGTTATGTTGGGGTCATAAGATGTTTTTAAAAAAGTTTCAAACACTTCCCACATTTATTTCAAATAAAAATGCAAGTTCTGTTTTCTCTTTAAAAAACTCAAATGCTTAGCAACACTAGACCCAGATGTTCCCACCAACAAGCAGATGGAAACGAACGGTCTCTCCGTTTGCGGGCAGTGCATGCACTCTGCAATCTGTCAGAGCCCTAACTCGTCTGGTCCACTTCACTCATTTATGTGATATGCTTGGCCCCAAAGACAGGGTGACCATAAAAATTATCATCTGAACCAGAGCAAAAGTTGGTGTTATTAACAGGTACACCAGGATAAGAGGCATAAACTGGGACTGACGCATCTAAACCCAGGCATACAGTCACCCAAGCATTTGTGTTAGAATCTCCAGGCCAAGTGTGTGGGTTGAAGGAGTGTATAAGGAATGCCCTTAAAACCATGGAAATGAAGTCATCGGCAAGCTTACCTTTTTAGCTTTTCTATTCACCAAATCGTGGTACAGGGAAACATGTACTTCCAACTTTAACATGTCAACATGTAAGATCACAACCTTCTTTTTTTGCCCAGATTGCACCTCCTGCCCTGCAGTGCAGAACCAAACATGTGATCACCTCCCTGGAGCAGGGGAGAGGGAGACAGCATCTCTCCAAGAGCCCCATAAGCCCTTAGGCACAAAAACAAAAGAGGACACGTCCTGGGTTTACATGGGCTAGGGAAGCCAAGGGTCTGGCTCACATAATCTAGGTTCAGGTGTGCCTTAACTTATGCAACCTGATATATAAAAATCTTGATTTCCCCAATTATAACAATCAAGGATTCATACCTAAACCTTCTTTAGAAGGTTGTCAGTTGTCCTGATTTGCATTTACACAAGATACCCAGGCCAACAGTGTCTACTGAATTAGTTCACTTACCCTATACATTTGGAAACCATATGCAGGAGAGGCAGCAATGGGCAAAAGGTTCCCCCCAACCAACCATGATAGGCAAGACCGATGCACTCACCTGCTCGATGATATTTGCTGGCTCTCAGGACCAGGCCAGGCACTGGGCCCTCACTGAATACCACAGAGCCATCTTCCAATACCTCCTGCACTTCTAAGTCAAGGACCATCCCTGGGGTCATCTCAGCCAGCGTCTGGATCAACACAGAGTCTGCCAGAGACCCAAAGGAAACAGAAAGTAGCGAGATTAAACAACATTCTTACCCTTCTTTTCCTTTGGAAATGTGCTGCCATGCAGAGGGCAGTAAAGCACTGGAACCACTGTGAAGGTTAAATCACTTTTTGTAAAAATGTCCAATATCCATGAAAACTCCTATGACAGAGAGAGACACCTAATGCCTCCCTTGCTAATCCTACTTGGCCATAATTCATGAAAATAGCCAGCACCACAAACAAGTGCTTTCCTTCTTTCTGTTTGGAATCTTCCCTCTCAAGCTTCTTATTCCCAAATCCCATCAGGGCTCCAACAATCCTACACAATGGTTCAAAGCTTAGGAGGGTTGGAATAGTAACCACGCACAAAGTCTTCTAGCAAGGCCCGTTTCCATTTTATCCTCCACTACATATTTGTGGAATACAGGAACAAAAAGTGAAGAGGTGAATGGATTCACAACAAATGCAAACCTGAGGTCACAGAATGAAGGGAAGTTGTGACTCTGGACTGGGCAGAAACACAAGGGGACTTCTGGGATGCTAGTAATGACCTTTACTTGAATCTGGGTGGTAAACAGGAGTGCTCATTTTATAAACATTTACTGAGCCGTACCCTAAATGATTTTTGCACTGTCTATAGGTCATATTCCCGTTTTAAAAAGTTTGCCAAAATTGTTTTAATACCTGGGAAGCCCATTGGAACAGACAGGCACAATGTCCGAGGCACACTGCCCACCCCAGCCCTCATCCTGTGCCCTCCCATCCTCACCTCGGTTTCTCATGAGGCTGCGCACGCCCTGCTGCTCCTCGAGGCACTGGCTCAGGAGGAGGAGGCTGGTGGTGGCCAGGTCCCCCATGGAGCAGTCCGACAGCCGCAGAGACAGCAGCATCCGCTGCTTCTCCTCGTCCACATTGGTCACCTTTGCAACTACCGTCTGCCCTTCGACAAAGTGGTCACTAGTGGAGGTCACAAATTTGTCACTCATGATCTAAAGGAAAGAATGGGCAGAAAATGAAGAAAGGAAAGGAAGTCACTATTAAAACAAGCCACTTAACATACCTAGGAAGGGCTATGAGAGGGGGTCATGAGACACAGGAAGTTCCCCCAGCCCTCTGTAAGTACAGCTCTACTCCCTTCCCTAAAAACACAGGAGAGGCCCTGGCTGCCAAACTCAGTCTTTAGAGGGCACCCAGCCAAGAAGACACACTACCAGCAAGCCAGAGGGATACCGAGCTGTACATATCTCTAATACCCAATGGCAACCCTCTGCCCCTCACTATGCATGTTTCTGGGGCCCTCTCCTCTGCTCCCATTTTTAAAATTGTTCTGGCAGAAGATGCAGATGACTTTTTGCCCTGGCAAAACACCAGGGAGATGAACCTATGGAAGGGAAGACATATTTATGAATTATCTGTGGCAGGAAAGAGCTACAAGCCATTTGCTCGCCACTGTCTTACGCTGACTTCTGGTTAAGTCTACTCCCAGCTCTGGTCTCAGTTTACTCGGCAGGAATGAGGGGTTCAACCATGGGATCACTAGAATTTTTTTCAGTCTGAAAAGTTTACAATTCAATTAGATGGGGGGTGGGTAGTACTTTCAAGGGTATTCTGGTACCATAGTACCTCGAAAATCCCAGGAGGCAGTAAAGCCTGTAACCAGCTGTTTAGGAAAATCAATTTCCATGTCTAACATGCTGAGAGTTTAACAACAAGTTCAGTGCCCTCACAGAAGACTAAAGTCTCAGGGCCACCGCCCATCTAATCAACGCTACAGTTAAAAGCAGAAAAGGTGCCCCTTCCTCCAGGACACAGCCCCAAACCAGAACACACAGCTGGGTGAGACGAGCGTGGAGTGAATCTCAGCTCCACTCCTGCCTCAGCCAGATGCCTTTATGTCGTGCCCCTAAAAATCTTTCAAAGGATCAAGTATCTTGCTCCTTCCCGCCAACCCTTGGGTTCCATGACCCTGTGTCCTTGGGCATGAAGGTGAACTTACTGCTTTGGGGGCCAGTCCACTAAGACCTGAGGGGAACTGGACGAACACACCATAGTCCTTGATGTTCTTCACAAAACCAATGAGCAGCATTCCAGGATGGATTTCTGAGAAGCTCTTGGGATCCTGACCACCCTCTACTGTGGAGACCAAAGCTGGCTTCCTGCAAAGGAGCTAGTGGCACTTCATTAAGGAATATTCCAGAAATGTCCATCTCTCCCTTCTCCTTTTTCCACTCTACACCTTCTGCTACTGTGATTCTCTAAGTATGCAGACGAATAGCAGTGGCATCACACAGAACCTGTTAGAAATGCAAATTCTTAAGCACCACCCCAAGACCTATGAATTAGAAACTCAGGGGTGAGACCTATCAAGCTGTGTTTGAATAGGCCCTGCAGGTGATTCTGATGTGCACTAACATTGGAGAGTCGCTGTTTTATTCCTTTCCTTATTAACTCATTTCCAGATTACTGAAAGGGACCAAAAAGGGGATGGCTCATCCCTGTGGCCTGGCAGCTGGACTGGCCATGACGCATCCTCCACAATCTTCACAGTAACCAACCCTATTTCACTGCCTCTGCCAATCTTCACTCTAAGGAGGTTTCATATTCCGTGAGAAAGGCAATGCTCTCCTTCAAAACACCCAGACCAAGCCCAATGGAATATTCCGAGCCCCGTATCTCTTGGTAGGGGGGAGGAAAGGAGGACAACTACCTCATTAATTATTCCAATTCAAGGGGCAAGCGATAAGCGCCCTGAGAAGGCCAGATGTGCTACTAGGAATATCCCCCTGGGTCGGCAGGCCACACCACCTCTTCCCCAACACCCTGGACTCCCACCCGAACCTGACTACCAGTATCTGCTCGCAGGACTTCAATCCCACTCTAACTTTCCACCAGGGAATTAGAAGGAAAGCTCAGGCTTGCTCACTGGTTAGGTTTTATGGAGGTATTTCTGCAGTCAATTGGCCGACTTTTTTCTATGGAATTTCCAACTAAAAGCATAACCCAATCCAAACTTTCCCCCCAAGAGTGCCCAGGTTCCCGTTTCCCTGGCTTCCCAGATGCCGGTAAAGGATACAACATGTCTCTCACTCTGGCTCAGACACAGGACTCTGTGAAGAGTGTCACCGGCCTGGAGCCAGTGATACAGCAGTGGGCCGTTGGCGACGTGGTCTGACAGATGAGACGTGGGGAGGAAAGCAGGGATGTTGTGGGGCAGGATAGCCACCTCCAGCCCATCTTTGGACTTTTCTAAAACCTTCACATCCACCAACTACCAAGTGAAGAGAAAGACAAAAAATAGCATTTATCTTGGGCAGACAGAGCAACCTCTTATGAGTCAGGAGGCAATCAGAGTCGTCAAATTCCAGCACCCGGGATCACAGAGAGGTCAAGAAGAGAAGCAGCTTTCTTCCACACCCCACACCATCTCCCAGCAGGCCCACACACGCACACACCAGGGCCCATTTGTGTATTCACGTCACTCCTCTCCCAGGTCCCTCCAATGGATCCCAGAGGAAAGGCAGTCCTGCGGGATGGCCCTAGGGACCGGAGGGAAAAGAGCAGCAGTACACTGCTGAAAAGCCACATCACGACAGAACTTTTCTTTCCTGGACAGCTTCCATTTGCTCTGACACACAGGAAAAAATATATATGAGGTTCTCTGTCAAGGGCCTTAACCCTCTCTGGTCCCAGAATCTTAGCTAGCTACCTTGATTTTTCCCCTCCATGGGTTCCAGTACCCCAAGTGTCAGTGGCACCCTGCTCTTTGGCCACTGTAAACTAAAATAACTTGTCTAGATAAGTCCAGGTACCTGCCCAGCGTGAACGGCTTTTCTTTTCTTCTGACTGTGTCCCGCACGCTCTTTCTTTGGATCACTCAACAGCTTGAAAGACAAGAGCATCCTCTCTTTGGATGGCTCACAGTTCAGCACCACAACCTTCACCACCTGGTGAGAAACCACAGCTGCTTGGCTAACTCCTCCCAGCAAGCCTGTCAGGCCCTGGAGAGGTGCCCTCCCCCAGCAAAGGCCTTGAGAGATCCACCCAGACCCTGGATCAGATCAGAATACAGTGAAAAAAAATGTACAGTGAGATACATTCCCCCGAGTCAGCCTTTGGGTGAAAGACAGACATGAATACATTTTTTGGTACAACCCCAAGTTTAAAAACTTCTTTTTCCTCAACAGACCCAGATTCACTACTTTCATGGCACTGCCCCCTGGTGGTAACATGACAGTAGCCTCAGAACAACTTCTTACAGGTCAAGATTAGTTCTTCAAGCCTGTGGGCCTGAAGAAGGTCCACTAGTTTGCCAGCTTTCATTGAATCCCCCTGAAGATTTCTCTCTGTTCTGCTCCCATCTCCACTTAGCTGGCTCAGGCTCTCTTCCTTACCCCTTAAAAAGTCGCCCTCCAGGGGTGGGGATGAAGAAGGGGAAGGGATGAGACAATACAAATTGGTAACTACAATATGGCCTCAGGGATAGAAAAGACAGTCTGGGGAATATAATCAATCATGTTGTAAATATTTCTTAGGGGGCCAGATGGACTCATGTCTCGTTGGGGAGATCACTTCATAGTCGGTGTAGAGATCTGACCACCGCACTGTATTTCTGAAGCTGATGTTGAATAATAATGTATGTCAACTGTAATTATATATACATATAGTCAGTCACAGGACGTGGAGTAGAGTGTGGGAATGGAGTCAATGGAATTGTAATAGGTAAGCATGACATCGGGGGTGGGAGGGCAGTAGATGGGGGAGGGGGTTGTTTCTGTGCGAAGGGTGAAAAGGATAACTATTGCAATGTTCTGTATACCTGAAACTAACAATAAAAAATAAATTAATTTTAAAAATAAAATAAGATGACAACCTAAAATAAAAAAATAAAATAAAATAAAAAAAGTCGCCCTCCATACAACTCCTTCAAATCTGTGTTCATGGGGTCACCACAGGTTAGGGACCTGCCTGGGAAAAGGTTACCTGGCCAGTGTAAAAGACCTTCTCTGGGTCGGGGACATACTCGGCACTAAGCTCATGCTTGGGCACCAGTCCCTGCACGTCATTGTAGAACTTCACAACGCAGCCATAGTCCTTGACCCTGAGGATGAAGCCATGTGTCTGCAGACCAGTCTTAGCATCTGCATAGCAGGTAATGGCAGGCAGTTTGGACTCAACCAGGGTTTTCTTCAGGGTCATCATCAGCTTCTTGGCTTCAGGGTCACAAAGCAAAACCTAGGGGAAGGATATTGTCATCAAACCTCTCATCAAGTTACCTGTTATCAAGAGAGCCACTGAGCTGGTCTCTGTGATCCCCTGAACCCAAAGGCCATGGTCAGTCCCTAAGAACCTACTATCTCTTTCTCTCTGAGAATGTCAGCCACAGACCCTCCCTGCTTCCTGCTGGATGACAATCTGGGGAATATTCATCTCTATTTCAAAGGTACTCCTCCCATAAGCTCCCTCTTGGGCCTGCAACAATACTCGCCATCTCACTGCACCGGCAGAGTCCTGTGTCAGTTGCTTCCACACTGCCTTAGCTCTTTCCTGGACTGCCAGCATCTTGTCTAACAGAATGAATGACTGAACCAATTTACCACTTCAATACTGCTGTATGTAATCTATAAACTAAGACTGAGAGACCCAACAATCTCTCCTCCCTCAGAAAGTCATCTCCTTGAGGGCAGAGAAAGTCCTCTACTTCTAACCTCCTAGATGCACTACTATAAAATATTTTGCCAATGGGTAATCAATCTCTTTGTTGACTCACTAATAATGAAATAAAATGAAAACAAGAAAATCTAACATTCTGGGCCGGCCGAGTGGCGCGTTGGTTAAGAGCTGGTTTGGGACACCAGCTCTGAGCAACAGGGCCCCGGTTTGGATCCCACACGAGGGCCAGTGACGCTGCGCCCTCTACAGCTAAGATGGTGAACAGCAGCTCGACCTGGAGCTGGGCTGCTGAGTCGCCAGCGACGGCGTAGGCTGCAGTGGGCTCCCGCAAGCTACCGTGAGCTGCCAAGAGCCGCCGTGAGCGGCCGTCCAGTGGCCGGTGACCAATCTGCCTCACCCAGGAAGAGCGTAGTGATAATACCAACATGGGCCAGTGAAGCGACGTTCTCCACAACTAGACTGAAGAACAGGAGGACAGCAACTTGTCTGTTGCCCTCTCCCAATTCCCCAATAAAACCTTTAAAAGAAAATCTAACATTCTGAGTGCCTGCACACACCAGGCCCTATGCTAATCACTGTGTAACATCAAATTTAATCTCATGACTTTGTGAAGCTTCTCTTGGGATTCAAATCTGTTATAAACCACTCAGTTTTGGCAGCTTTGTTTGGGCTATTTCTGTGCCTGACACGCTCCTTGCTCCTCAACCTTCCAAATCCTACCCATCCTTGCTAGCCCACCTGTGCCAGAAATCTACAAGACATTATTGGCACATAGAGCTGAATTTGAAAACTGGTTTCACCATTTGTTAGCTGTGTGACTTTGGACACGACATGTGGCCTTTCCATGCTTTAATTTTCTCACTGGGGTTAACAACACTTATTTTAGAGGGTTGTTTTAAGGATTAAATGAAATAATGAATGTCACGTGCCTAGCACAGCAATTGGCACAGACACATGTTACGTGGTAGTTGCTACTGATATCATTGATGATTCTTGCTGCTCTGCCCCACGCTGACCTCCCCTTTCTGAGATGTGACCATAGCATATAGCCTGCACCAAACCATGTGGCACAAGGTTACACACTGGCCTGCTGTCTTCATGGATGAATATTGACTCTCAATTATACTATACAATTCTCAAGGGCAGGGACCCAGTTTTCTCCTCCCAATGCCAGGCACAGTACTGCAGATATTACATGGTCATTTTATGGAAAAAAAGCAGAAACTTGGCTGAGAAGCAGTACTCTCTTCCCATCTGGCCAAAACCACAACAGAGACCCTTCAGGAACTCACCCGGCACATGACCTCATCCCCAATGTGGTACTTCTTCTCTGGGTTCTTCATCAAGATGTCAGCCAGGTGCATGGGAGGTACCAGGCCCCTGATGTGCTCACCCACCTTCACCAGAATCCCATACGGCTTTATGGTCATAACTGTGCCCTAGGAAGTCCCAAGAAAAGACGTCATGATGCCTCAATAATGGTCTTTCCTCCACCTCTTACAATAAAGCATGTCACAACTCTCTTTTGAAGCCCAGTTTCCTGGGCTAACTGTTCCTGTTATTCCAGATCTCATAGGGGTAAAGTACGCACCCCACACTGATCTGGGTGCAGTCGGGTTTATTTATGGAACCTTCATATCTTTCTGTATGAGCATGTTCTTTCTGTCTGCCTTACAAGCACAGTCTCTAAAGGAGGGGACCATGTTTCCTAAAAAATGAACTCTACAAATAAAGGGAAGCTGTTCAACTGGGGCTAAACGGATAGATAGGGAGACAAGTGGAACTGGCTTCTTACTAATATCCCAAGTAGCTCAATTATCATAGAACTAACTTTTGACCTGGTCTATTAAACACCATCCAATTCCAGGTTTATAACCTATTTCCTCTGCAGTTGGGTGGTGCTAGTAAGACCTTACCTTGAAATTAATTATAAGTTATCCAAGGAGAAAAGAAATTCCAGTTAGCAGGCAGAGGCAAGGAACAAGACTTTAAATATGTTCACATGAAGACTAATGAGCTGACAGTTAACCTGTGAACTCCAGAATGTCTGAGGCTGGGGGAGTATCCAAGTAGATGCTTGAGGTCTTACCTTTACCAATGCCCCAGGTTTGATGTCATGATAGCTAAGGTACTGAGCTTCAATAATAGACCTAGAACGAAAGGAAGACATAAGATTAAATAAATTGGGGCAGAGGCTACCTAAAATTCAGGGTTGTGAAAGCCATGCTGGCAGGAAAGGAAACCTTTACCTAGCAAGGCCAGGAGAAACTGAACACGCACCCACCCAGAAGCACATCTCCACCCGACCACGTGTTGATGAGACTTACGTCCGCAGAGACAGCAAAACCAGTTCATCCATTGGGCTGTAGTCGATGATTCTACATTTGTGAGTGTTCCCTGGCTTGAAGGCCTCAGGATTGAAGGCGCTCTTTGAATCGGAGAGATGGCTGAGCTACAAAGTACCAAGTGATTAAGAAAAGCCAGAAACAACAGGTGTGAGGAAATCAGACACTAAAGCACACTGAGATGACAACACATTTGCCACCTACATAAAAACAGTACTCTGATTACCTGTTAAAATAATTCCTCTAGGGCCGGCCATGTGGCTCAGTTGGTTAAGAGCATAAGCTCTGAGCAACAGGGTAGCTAGTTCAATTCCCACATGGGCCAGTGAGCTGCGCCTGAGCTGAGTTGCTGATGAGCTGCCAATAGGTGGCAGGATGGCTCAGTTGGTGAGAGCACATGCTCCTAACAACAAGGTTGCCGGTTCGACTCCCGCATGGGATGGTAGGCTACGCCCACACGCAACTAAGGTTGAACATGGCACCTTGAGCTGAGCGGCTGCAAGCTGTTGACAGGCAGCCGGATGACAACTGGACTTGGAGCTGAGCTAGCTGAGTCCTCCACAACTAAGACTGAAGGACAACTTGGCTGTCCCCCTTCCCCAATTCTCCAATAAAATCTTTAAAAATAATAATAATTAATAATTCCTCTAACTAAACAACTGTTCTTTACCATCACAGAATTTCTGTGTCAGAGATTAGTCTAGATCGTGGGTCAGCAAACCACAGTTCATAAGTTGGTAACTATTTTTGTAAACTAAAGTTTTACCAGAACACAGCCATGCCCATTCATTTACATCTGTCTATGGCTGCTTTCAGCCTATAAGCACAGAATTGAATTTAAGATTTTATTATAAAATATTAAAACAAACACCTAGAATGAAGAGACAACAAAACCTGGGTAAATTTTTAATACTTTTAAACATAATAAAAGTGAATCTTATTAATTTGCAGAACAAAGAAGGGGTCACAGTAGTGAGTCCCAGCCTGAAACTTGTTTTGATACTGTGCAAGAATCTGCACAAAATAAAATTTGTTTTAAATAAATTTTATTTAAAAAAAAAACAAAAAAACCCCAAAGAACAGAGTTGAGTAGTTAGGACAGAGACCATATGGCCCACAAGCCTAAAATATTTACTATCTGGACCTTTAAGAAAAACTCTGCTAAGCCCTAGTGTACATCCTAATTCACTCTTACACTTACCACCTGATAGGTATCAAATATGTCAAACTGATTCTAAGGCATTCTATTATAACAAACAGGTATTATTTAGTCCCTATGAAAAGTCTGTTATACTTGGGGACATTCAAAAATAGGAAATTAATACCAAGGGATAAAGGAAGCAGAAAAGGATCCATGTGTCCCAACAGTCCATCTAGTGATAAGATCCTGATAAAACAAAGAGACTACTTACCCGGGCATAGGCCAGAGACCCATCATTCAACCTGAAAGTGGCCCCGGCCTTGCTGAAAAAGCCCTGGACAGGAATGTCATCCAGGACAGCTCCCAGGTGCTGGCAAGAGAGCCGGGTGAGTGGGCGCCCAGGCTGCAGGAAGGCGGGACGCAGGCTCAGTCGCACATCTCTGGTCCGAGGATGGATACAGAGGATGCAGGCCTTGACCTACATAAGGGAAAAGACATAATGAGCAGGAGGAGGCACGCAGGAGATAAGGCATCCTGGAGCTGACTTTTGGAGGTCAAGGCTCTCCATGTGCTCTCCATTCCAGAGTAGGAATACAAGTACTAAAATTGACTTGTGCAGTCAAGCAGCATACAGAAAATTCAAACAAAATGTTTCAGAGGAACTATGTCCAACCACATCAAGGCTTACTCAGGCCAGGAAAAACATATACGAGGGCTCTCTCAACATCATGAGGCTAATAAGGCACATGCAACAGAAACCATGTGCTGGCACCAGTACATCAGAGGCTCGTCTAAATACACCAGAAACAGCCTGCTCCAATCACAAGGTTATAGAATGCTCTGTCTCAACTCTGTACGCAAGTATGACTACAGGGAGAAAAAAATTACTAGAAAGAGGTTCACCAAAATATTAATATTATTATTACTAGGTGATATTTTTACTTTTTTAAAAAACCTACTTTTACTTTTTAAAAAAGTCTCTACAGCATCTATTAGCATGCATGATTGTTAAAAAACAAAAAACAAATCATTTTAGGATCAAAAAGATTCTGAATAACATACATTGGGATATTCTTCCCAAATATCCATGTTCATTGCAGAAAATTTGAATCTTTAGGTAAGGGTAGAAAAATAACGCAGAGTTAGTCACTATTAACACATGATCATATAATCTTTCAGTATTTTAGCCAGGTGTACTCTAAATTTTTTTTCAAAATTGGATATTTTTTCAAAATACAATACACATAGCACCTTTTAAACCACATTTTTCTATTTAAACATATATCTTGTTCTCCTATGTTAAATACTCCTCTAAAGCACTTTAAATTATAAAAGCAAAAAATTCAATACCAAAAAAAGTCAAACCATATGAAAGAATATGAAATAAAAACTAAAAACTGCATTCTCCTCCTCAGTCTCTCTCTCTCTAATCTCAGTCCTCAGAGATACCCACTGGTAGTTTATTATGGTCCTTCCAAAACACTTTTTATTCTCTTCACCTCTTCTCTGCACACCTGCACACACAGTCCTAAGACCTGCCCTGTAGCTAACTGTGATACCGGACAGCTAGGTGGGACACAACTGGAATCAAGAAAAGATAACACTGAAGATTACTACTTGACCTGGGGCTAATGGGTCCTGGAAAAACACACTGTTCCCCAGTAAAATCCTTTAAAAAAAGAAAAGAAAAGATAATGTACAGCATTACTTACTACTTGATTTGAGAAATACGTTCCAGCTTTCTTGGGATCCAAATGCATAAAGTCAACCAGGCCAGTAAAGAATGAGAGGAAGTTTAACGTAAGGCCAAGTGGAGTCACCTAGAAATAAACAGAACAAGTTATGAAAAATATGTCTCCGAAGGAACCAAGAATATGAGAACTACTGTTCATACTAAACACTCAATGCCACATTTTCCAGGATCACTGTGTGTTCTCTCCTACTCCAGCTAACCCTTATCAATCTTTCTTCCTATAAAACTGGCAGGACCACTGACACTGGCTGTTTCTTTATTCACTAAGCTCACCTCCCTTCCAGAATGAGAGGACATCAATCCTCCCACCCTCAGGATTCCCCAATGGGATGGAGGGCACTTTGCACAAAAACCCTTGGGGAACTGCCAGCCTGACAACTTGGACAAATTGTTGCTAACTTGGTGATCTGCCCAGGCTAAGAAGGAAAAACCCAAATGCTTGCAAAAGGGAGACATTAACCATGAGCAAGCTGATTCATCCCACAGAGCCCCGCAAAAGCTAAGGAATTAAGCTGAGAAGCACCTCAAAAGAGAGCAATGAGGTAGATAACTGAAGTTTGGAATCTCCACAGAAAAGGGAATAGTTATTCTCTGGGAAAACTATAAGACACTCAAAACACAGGAAGAGTACAAACCCTGAAATGTGGATCAAGAAAAACCCTGAAAGAAAATAAAGAAAAAAATAATGAATAAAAAAAAAAACAAAGAAGAAAAAAGAGAAAGAAAAAAAATAGAGAGAAAAAAATGCTGAATATCGTATGGATATAGATAAAGAAACATCCAGCCCCTTTCTCCCACTTAGCTCTCAGGCAGTCAGGCTCATACCCTCCTAGATGGAAGTTAATAGATCCTTTCTAGAGAAATCTAACATACCCAAGAAGACTTTATAACAATGACTCTCGGAAGCTGCCCAAAGAAAGTCTGCTAGCTCCTCATCCTGACAGTGAAGTCAGCCAATCATTATGTCCCACCCAGGCACACAAACTTCCTAAGAATTTTAGTGCCTCATTTGTAGTATGGCGTCAAAACAAAAATTCAATAGAGAATGTGAAGTTAAAAATTGAGAGACTCTCCCAGAAGGGAGGACGTAGATAAATACATGCACATACCAAAACAAAGAACAGAGCAAAAGATAAGAAAATTAGAGAAGTGACCCATGAAGTCCAACAATATGTTAATAGGAGTTCCAGAAAAAAAGAAGAGGAAATTATATTTTAAAACAAACAAAAACAAGATCTGCTAAGGAGCTAGTACCCTGAATATATAAATGCTTACAACTTAACAATAAAAAGACAATTTAATTTTAAAATGGGCAAAAGACTTTTGAATAGATACTTCTCCAAGGAAGATATACAAGTAGCCAATATGCACATGAGAAGATGCTCAACTTCACTAATTATTAGAGAAATGCAAATCAAAATCACAAGAAAATACCACTTCATACCCACTAGGATGGCTATAATAAACAGGATAATAACAAGTATCTGTGAGAATGGAGAAATTGGAACCCTTACATGTCTGTTGGGAATTTAAAATTGTGCGGCCACTTTGGCAGTTCCTCAAAAAGTTAAACAGATAGTTACCATATAACCCAGCAATTCCATTCCTAGCTATATACCTAATAGAAATGAAAACATATGTCTACACAAACATGAATTTCATAGCAGCATTATTCATAAAAGCCCAAAGTGGAAACAACCCAGATGTTTACTAACTGAAGAACGGACAAACAAAATGTGTTATAATAATATGATGGAATATTATTCAGCCATAAAAAGGAATGAACCACCGTTATAAGCTACAACATGGATACACCTTGAAAACACTAAATTAAGTGAAAGAAGCCAGACACAAAAGCCCATATATTGCATGAACCTAGGAGTGCTTTTGGGGATCCCAAACACACTAGGTCAAGAAATTAACCTCTCATGTACTTTTTTCAATGAAGATGCTCTGGAAAATGTGCCACATTAAAATTGAGGGAGTAAACCAATAAAGAGGAAAACATGGAATCAAAGGTGGTTCCAATACAGGAAAGAGGGGAACGTCCCAGGATGACAGTAAAAGGGGGTCCACGTGGGGAAAAAAGGTAACGAAGCAATTACCTAAAGGGCTTGAAATCATGGAGAAAAAATTGTGAGAGAAAAATAACTACAGGGTACAGAAGAAATAGTGATAGATAGGAAGGGAATTTTAAAAATGACAAAAACAAAGCCGATTATCAACTCTAGGAAATAAAGCTGTTCAACAGTCCTGGTCTATTACCTCGCTCAGCAGTAAACAGTGTTTATGTAGTCATAATAATTGAAACACTGAATAATGATTTAGCCAAAATTTTACTATATCTCTGTTGGGAGGTTGGGGGAAGAGGAGGGAAAATTAAGAGGCATGTCTTTATCTACCTTGATAAGAAGTTAAAACGCAATGCCTAAAATCGATAAACCAAGAGAAACTTATTACTTAGAAATGTGAAGGTAAATTTCAAAAGATAAGCTAAAAGAGTTAAAGGTGGGGGTCAGGAGGGATAGATGGGACAGTTCTTCATTATAACTATTTTAATACCATTTTGATCAGCACTGTCCAATAGAAATATAATGTAAGCCACGCATGTAATTTTAAAGTTTTCTAGCAGTCAGATTTTAAAAACTACAAAGAAAGTGAAGTTTGTTTTAATTATAGTTTATTTAACCCAATATATCCAAAATATTATCATTTCAACATGTGGCACTGGCTGCATTTCAAGTGCATAATAGCTACACGTGACAAGTGGCTGCACTACTGAACAGCACAATTTTAGACTGTGTGCATGTAACTACTTTAATAAAAATTGTTATTTTAGAAAGTAGTAATAATGAACGGCTTACCTTCTGTACCTGGGCTTTGACCACCAGTCCTGGTAGCAAGTTATTAAGGGTCCAGTTTTGCTCCTCGGTAGCAATGGCAGTAGAAACTTCTGAATGATCAATAGACAGACTAACAACTCCTCCATTGCCTTTCACCTCTTCAATGATGCAGTTCAGGTACTGACCCACCTTCAGTTTAGCACCTGCAAGCCCAGCCCCAGCCCCCAAAAGGAAAAATATGTCCATGAAAAGGACCTTTAACTTGGGCTCAAGCAATACCTAAGATGATTCTTGGCCTACTTGCCGAGTTACCACGCAATACTCCCCATATTCCCAATCTCTAAAGACCAACTACAAGAAGGGAGTGAAGTGACCTTAACCAATCTGGAATCAACTACCCACAAAAATATGAAGATTTCAACAAAAATATGAAGGTTGCTGGTTCAGAGGCTTTGGGGGCCACGGCCCAAACTTCAATGGAATCCTCCACGTGAGAAACAGTGAAAATGGCCCATCAGATCTTAGCAAGACTCTGCCACTTCCTGGCCCCTCACACACATTCCCTTTTCTATCAGCCAGGATTAACCGCTGATCTTAGCAAAGCCAAAGAGCCTTCAGTGTCACCATTCTGTAATTTACTCACCACACCTGGTAAGTAAATTTAAATACAATCCCCACATGTACCACCTCACTGCCATGCAGTGGTCCCTCTTCTTCCCCTCACCTTTGTTCTTTTGTCTGATATACTCCTGGGTTTTCTGCACTGGCAAAAAAGCTCTGGCCCCACCAACACCAATGTCCACTAGGTAGCCATGGTCTTCCAGACTGGACACAGTGCCTGAGAGCAACTGGAAAAGGAGAAAGCATTGCAAAAAGTTCAAAAGTCAAGTCATAGGACACACAACAAACATCCACTGTAAAATTGCATGTTCCCACCAATCTCAACACATCATCTCATAATCCTACCCCACACACAAACACTTTTAACCTTTAACTTCAGTCCCACTAGAGGATAGGCGAGGGCAAGATACCAACTTTAATTCTCCCAGGGCTGGAAGGATTTTATGGTTTCCAGACAGTGAGAAGTGCTAAACAAAGGTGAATAAAGGAATGACAGAGAGGGGTCTCTCCCCTGGAGAATTTCCAAAAGATAAGACTTTCATGCTATGCAAAGAGGGATAAACCAGATGGCCTTCCAGGTCACTCCCTGGGCTATGATTACGGAGAATCCAGGACCACCCTTCCAGCTGTCATCATATAAGTACCTCCAAGACATAAAAAAAATAAAAATAAAAAAAATCTTGCCAACTTCCTTTACATTTCATGGGAAGCAGTGCGGCATTCAAAACTGGCTCTGACATTTACTACTTTGTCTTTGGCAAGTCACTGAAACCTCTCTCATTCCCTTTTCTCGAATCTACAAGAGGGATATCTATTTGCCTCACAGGGCAAATAGTGTCTAAAACAGCATCTGTCATACAGCAGGCTCTCAACACTTGTCAATTTCCTGCAACTTGGCTTATTTTTATTCCCCTTTCTATCCAACTTTCAGGACCTGACCCAAACTCCACTGCTTCTTACCAAATACTACAAGATCATATTGATCTCCCTCCTCTTAATTACAAGAGTACTTAGATGAGTGTAATTTACATGAGTGTTTTGAACCTACTGGACCTGGAGGCTCTGAGCCAGGACTAATTTCTCCTGAATCTCCACAGGACTGAAAGATTCAGTGGAGGGCTGGCTGTCCAGGAGTACAGATGACAGACTTATTGCCGTCTACCTTGTCTCTTGCTCTTAGAGAGCAACCCTCAAGGGTTCCTCACAAATACCAGATAGCCTTGGAAAAAAACCTGTGAAGAAGTCCAGGTAAGTAAGACACTTCAAGGACCTCCTTCTCACCATCAGCAATGCCCTGCTAAGGCTTCTCGGAGCCTTTTTTTTTTTTTTTTGCTAACAGCAAATCTTCGACGTGCTTTCCCTTTCTCCCCTCCCAGGTAAGGTAATTAGGTTCAAGTCTTCAATTTCCATTAAATATCCAGGCACCCTGAAGACCTTCCCCCCTCAGGAAAAGAGCTACCCCTGTGTGTAACAGTTAGAATGTAAACAGTGGTCTAGACATTCCCCAGGAGACAAGGCAGGGCAGGAAGAAGGCATGTTGACTGCTCCTCTTCCCTGACCCCAGACACGTACCATTCCGGGCTTCAAGGACTCAGCACTCAGCACTTTGTTGACATTTTTGGGGTTCAGAGATAGTTTGACACTCTTTCTGCCACTCTCTGTGATGCCGAGATTGCTCACGACACATCTCACCAGCATCCCGGGCGAGAAGAGTTCAGGCAAGAGGACCAGGTCCTGGATAATACAAATGAGAAAACTCTGATGCTTACTATCGCCCCAAACCAAGAATCCACTGCCAGGCCCTGGCTCACAGCCTTCTCATCCTCAAACCCTAAAGACCCCAAAAGGCGATGAAGAGGGCAACCACTTGCCCACAAAGGAAGATGGGTCTGTGACCATATCACAGTCTTGAATGTTAGCATAAAGCCTCCAAAAATCTCCACACAATGGGCTGATATAAAAAGACTTGTCAAAAGACCTGTCTACAGAGACCAAAGGGATGCTTGCTAGAGGGGATGGGGTCAGGGGATGGGTGAAAAAGATGAAGGGGGATATAGTCAATAACATGTGTTAAGTTTGCACAGCGATAGATTATTACTAGAATTAATGGGGTGCTCACATTGTAAGGTCTAAAAATGTTGAGTCACTATATTGCATACCTGAAACCAATATAATTATTATATTGTATATCAACTATACTTAAAAAAAAAAAGTTGTCTGTATTTACTGTCTCCACTTCTTCATCTCCTAATTGCTCTTCAGCTCACTGCAATCTGCACCCCTCCCTCACCTCACTCCACCACTTTATCTCCCAATAAAATCGCCAATGCCCTCCATGTTGCCAAATCCAACAGTTTATTTTGCAGTCTTCTCTTATGAGACCTTTAAAAAGATTTTAACACTGGAGACCACTCCTTTCTTCATTAAACATTTCCTCCCTCACTATCAAGACTTTTTATTCACTGGTTTTTCTCTGGCCCTCCTTCTCCTGATAGCAACTCTCCTTTTATTCAGCAATTAAACTACAGCATTTACTCCCAGCTCAGTCTTTAGTCTCTTTTCGCTGTGTTTGCTCCCTCTAAGCAACTTCCTCCTTCTTAGCTTCTATTACCACCTATACAAAGAAGTTTCACACATTTTTGGTTCTGTACCTCAAACTCCACATAGGAAACAACCAAATCACGATCATCTCTCGCAATCCAGGCCCCCCGTCAGGATTTCTTATCTCAGAATGGCATGGTTGTCAAGTCATGCACAATAGAAACCCAGGACTCATCCCTGGCACTTCTGCCTCACCACCCAGAGCAAATCCATCACTAAACACTGACTTTACTTTCTCAGTTGTCAGTAAATCCTGAACCCAAGCTGCCATCAATCTCAGAACCTAGGCTTCAACAATAGCCTCCTAACTGGTCTCCAGGAAACTACTCATGCCTCTTCAATTTATTCTCTATTCTGTCTACATGTCACCCATCCCAATGAGAACACTTCAAGGGCTTGTCATTGATTCTAGAATTAAAAGCCCATCCTTAACATGGTCTGGCCTCCACCCAGCTCTCCAGCCCCATCCCACACAACCCTCCGTTGCTCTCGCCACACTAGCCTTCTCTCTGCTGCATACCCGCTCCTTCTGCCTGAACTCCGTTCCTTCTTTATCTAGTGTACCCTCATCTTTCAGATCTCAGCGCAAGCATCCCTTCCCCCAGAAAGTCTTACGGGTTCCCTGGGCTATGTCAAAATCCGCTAATAAAAAAGTACATAATAAAATCCCCTATTATAAACTCTCATGGCACCTTGTATCTTTCCTTCTTAGCACTTAACAAAGTTGTCATTTTGCATTTATTTGTGTACTATTTATTTCCGGTTACAGATTTTTCCAGGTCTCCCTTACCTTCAGAGGCTCTTCTTGTGCCACCTGCTCATTCAGCTTTTTGGTGTAAGCATCACAGATTTCAGTCACCTGCACAAACCCCTGCAGGCCATTGGGGAGACTAATCACCAGTTCCAGTTCATTTACCTCTTTCACACAACCCAAAAGCCGCATGCCCTCACACAGGGACTAGAAGAGAAAAAGAGAAACAGGTACAATAGGGAAGAGAACAATGAATGAGGAGTTTCAACTCTGACAGATAAAACTACAGGAAACATATAGGTATATGTGTCAATGCACTTATCAAACATCTGACCGAGCACCCTAAAAGGGTTAAATTATACAAGTGTTAACAGCATTTGGGTGCTGGTGGGCACTTTCACCTTTTACTTTATTCCAAGCAACCCAACCCCAAATGCCTCACAGGCAATAAAATGAAGGAAGCAGGGATCAGTGGCGCTAACGGCAGTGTGAAGTGTGCAGGCCGGGCCTAACAGGTGCAGCCACTACTCACTAGGCTCCATGTGACGACAAACATGAGAGAATGAGAGCTCGTGTTGTCGGTGCTTTCAAATTTTTACGAGAACCCAAAAATCACCTCTTTATGTAAAGTTTGTTTCTTAATGTTGGCATCAAGTTAAACGATTATTTTTTTAAGCATCACACAGAACAAACAAAACCCTTCTGCAGGCTGAATCTGAATCTTTCCCTTCAGAATGATTGTTTTTTTCTTTTTTACAGCTATTGTATATTGGAGTAATCTAAAAAGTTAAGGAACAGACTAAGACCACTTCATTTCTCTGAGGCAGTTTCCACACCTATGAAATGAAAGGGGGGGAAATCAGAATGATTGCTAAAGTTACTGCCAGCTCTATCCTATGAATCTACTAAAACAGAAGTTTCATAAGGACACCAGCCCGATGAGGGACTCAGCAGCTAAAAACAAACAAAAAACAACACACAATCCCAGGCACTGGTTAATAGAAAACCATGCTCAATTCTGAACACAAACTGCAAGAATCTCTATGGACACAAGCCATACGTATGTATGTATGAATGAATGAATGAATGAATGAAAGGAATGAAGGGGGTAAAAAAAGGGAAGAACATATACAAATTAAGCAACCAAGGTAGTTTGTTTAAATTGAAACCAAACTTTAACAAACCTCGATACCAAGGATTTCAAACTTTTCTCTTACAGACTTGCTGCTTTCTTTCTTGTCAATTTTCAGCTTTTTTGTTTTTGCTGGCTCCTTCTGCCTCTTTTTCCTTTTGGTGGAATCTTCTTCAGTAGAAATCTAACAGCGGGCAGAGGACCAAAAGATGAAAAGAAGCAATCCTGGCCTTTCCCTCCCAATTTCCGGTCATCTGTTGTTGCTTTGTTACTCTTCCATCCCACGCCACTCCCAAATGCTTCTTTAATTCCTATTCAATCCCAAATCTCCCAGTCTGTCCCCAAGGCTCCTTTTGCCCAAAGTCTGCCCTTCATGTTCTCAAAAGCCCCTTCTCTCCGGTGTTCTTCCTCCCCTGACTTAGGATGCACATTGGGCTCCACCAGTATGAGAAGCAATTTGAAATAGTGTATGAATGAAAGGTGGAGTCACGAAGACCTGAGTTAAATTCGCAGTTCCACCATAATAAGCTGTGTGGTTTCAGCAAAAGTATATAACCTCTCTTGGCCTCTATTCCTCATCACAGAATGACGATCTCTATTTCATAGTACAGTTGGGAAGATTACATGAAATTGACACAAAGCCTTATAATCAAATGCTAGTTCCCTTCCCTCTAGCACTGACAGCACAGCCTATTCTAGGTGAAGATTATTAATTCTAATGCAAATTCTGACCATCATACATGGCGGCAAGGACCCCATTAAAAATGTGATGATCAGACTGCTTTCTCTCCATCCTTAATCAACATGACACAAAGTTCCTAAAAATAAGGAACAAGAGCACTAAATGCCATGCTTCAAAACATACAGCCTTGTGGTAGTATGGACTCTCTAAAAGTTCAATTTACAAACACAGACTTCAAAAAGAAATAATCTGGAAAACAACACATTCTCAAACAGGGTTCATTCTTCATAAGGACAGTAGGGAGAAAGGGTTCAGTGAGTCTTACCAAACAAGCCCACCACTTACATCAAATAAGTTGTCTTGTTCAACAGGCTGCTGGAAAGCTTTCTCTGATTTATGGGTCTTTCTTGTACCCCCACGGGGGAAGCTCTCTTCCACCGTTGCCATGTTTGGGGCTCCTAAAAACAATGCAAAGAGTTAGAGGTGAGATGTAGCCTTGATGCCAGATTTCCTAAAGGCTGTGATCAATGGGCAAGAGATAGAGCCTTCTAGCACCAATGCACTAGACAGCACTCAGGACCAAAATATCGATGGTTTGAAGCCACGCCCCAGATAATCCACAATTCATCTTTCCAAAGGTCTCTGCTTCAAAATCACAAATTCACACATTTCCTCCAAGAAAAGAAGTTACAGATTCAATGTAGTAATACCATTAAGCAGCTACGGTTAAGTCAGAAATACACAAATATATAATACCCTACCTTCAAAGAATATGCACACTTTTAAGATAAAACAATTATGCAAGTAATTTAAAATGCAAATCCGATTATAAACTATCAATGAAAAGGTAGAAAATGACGAAGCTTCAGTAAAGAAGGCAAGCTTCCTAAAGAAGATGTTGTGGGGGCCGAATGTTAAAAGATGAACGTGAGCGAGCTCTGAGCAGCAGCGGTTCGATGCCTGGCCCAAGCTGAGCTGCCGCTGAGCTGCCAAAAGGTGGCAGGATGGCTCAGCTAAAAAAAAAAAAAAAGATAAACGTGATTTTGACAAGTGGAAAGGGAAAATCAGATGGAATGTGAGAAAAAGCATGAAAACAGGAAAAGCCAATTATTTCAATGAACACCAGCAATTTGTCAAAACAATTGCTCAAAAGCCTGCTGATCCCTTTCTATGAAGAATTATTCAACTAGACCACAGGGCAAATAAAGCATACTTGGAGTTAAATTTTAAAAGACAGACTAGGCTTTTTTAGCGGAGGATCTTAGTTTAATATTTACTTTGGGAAGTCAGAGCCTTAAGTTAGATAGAATTATAATGATTGCTAACGTTAGAAGAGATAGAACAGTAATCAAGAAAAATATAGTACAGGTTATAAATTGGATGGGAAGAGACAAGGTCTGAAGGAAGGCAAACCCGGGAGGAGTCAACTGCAGTACAACCAAAAAACTATGAGAATCATAACTAGGTATAAGTGAGAATGGAAGCTAAGGAGAGGCTGGGTCTGAGAAACTGGGTCTGAGAAACTAGTAGAGGTGACGACCGAAGGGAGCCTAGGTTTACAATCAACAATGGGTGTACGCTTCGTAGAAAACTTCAAAGGGTAAGGCGATCCGGTGGCAAAGAAGGGATTCAAGCTACTTCCCGGGGACAGAGCCTGATGTTACAGGGGCCACTCGAGCAGAGCCGGCTTCTGAGCCGGGCTGGAGGGATCGAACCACTCACCCAGCACTGTGGATGCATGGCAGGGACCGGGGACCCTAGACCTGGGACAGAACTGGAAGCCACAAGGTTTCCTCCCTTCTCGCCTTTGCCCTCACTTACCAGCCTCGCGACGCCAGCACCTCTCAACTTCGGAGGACGAGCCCTGTAGTCACACACGCGGAGAACTCGCGCACCCACACACCGAGGCTGCCCTTCCGGAAGCGTGGGCGGGCTCAATGCCCCGCTTCCGTTACTATGCTGGGTCCCAGTTCCTTTGGGGAAAGGGGACGATTTAGAGACGGGAAGCGGAAGGGCGGGACTTCGAGCCATAGCCAATCGACGCCTAAGGCTGAATCGCTGAGGCTGGTTGAGCGCGCGTGGGGGAGGCGGCTTCTTCCGGCTGGACCGAGTGGTAGCTTCGTACGTTGAAGGACACTGTCTGCGGAATTCTTGCCTTTTGCAAGGTGGGTGTGGAGGGGAACCCGGCCTGCGACCTCGCTCCTCCGCTTTGTGGCACCGGCCTAGGACCCGACCATCCCTGATCCGGGAACATCTTGAGGTCTTCGCTTTGGGGGGACGAGAGCGTTGGGGAATGGAAAAGGGCTTAGAAATCACAAGGGCCGGGGCTCGAGGGGTCGGACAGTGACTGGGCAGCCTCGGGGCGAGGCGAATAGGCGCTCCCAAAGGCTCCCATCGCCCCCTAAGGCCCTTAGATTGCATTTTTCAGTGGAGAAAAATGCGGCCCGTAGCGAAGGGAGTCACCAAGGTCACCCAGTGACGTAGCGTTGGATGAGAACTTGGGCTTCTGACCCCACCTCTGGCCGAATTACCCCTTCTCCTCTGCATGCCCACAGCAGTTTGTTTCCTCTGTGCTGTGCTAAGGAAGCTGCCCAGCCAGGCTTCCTTTAGCTGCGCTGCAGCCTTTGTCAAAACGAGTGTGAATGTGGCCCGGCCCCTGCGGTTCGCCAGGCCCCGCGCCGTTTGCTGGTTAGATTTACATTTCGATAACGTTCGGTCAACAGGAAGGCCTTTCCTAGGAGACAGCCAGAACCGAGAACTGTAAACTCCTTGAAGTGCAGGAGGCTGGTTCTGGTTCCTGAGCGGCTCTCGCTCGTCTTTGGCTCCTTTACTTGGTGATCTCACCATTCCAGGTATCGGGAAACAAAGTAGCTGGAACAGTCGATCGCTTTGGGCCTTTTCTGAAATGCCCATTTTACAGGTGAACCAGAGGCATGGGAAGATTGATAATAGCTATTAGTTATTCACCACTTAATTAGAAACAAAAGCAAAGGCCCAGTTGCTTAGACTTTCCCACAAGCTGCCGTTTAACAATTAGTACAATTGTTCCTGGGTAATTTTCTCCTTCATTTAATATGCCTTTCTAAACTTAAGTATGACTCGAAAGGAAAGCAAGTTTCAGTTCATTTATTCCACAAAGGGCATTCTAATGCAAGGGCTCCTGATCTTTGCCCAAAAGTAACCAACTGTTTGCTGAAGAGTACAGACTCAGGTATTTCCAGGCTGTTGACTCCCATTGTTTATTTCACCAGCAATATCCCACTCGCCACGCCCTGCGCCACTCATCCTCTCCAAGACTCTTCCTTTAAGACCCTACTAAATTGCGGTTCGTATACCATGCTCTTCAGTCAGAATCATTCCTCTGTGGAATATCACAAGCATCAGCCTTCCTCCCATATTATGTAAAGTAGAGGGAATTTAAAGCCCCTTAAGGTGGCTCCGTTGCGCAATGGATAGCGCATTGGACTTCTAAAGCCCCTTAAATTGCTTCAGTCGCACACCACATCCTCCTAAAAATTTTTGTTAGGCACAATGTAGTGGGGGTTATCAGTTAATAATTCACTAAGTTAAATCCTTGTTTTCTATAGGGTTTCTCTTAGAAACCTACTTGATACTGTAAGAATCCAAAAATGTATCATGAGGGTGAATGGAGGGAAAGTATGCCTTTAATAAAATGAAACAATATAAAAGCTACATCATAAAGATTTCTTTTACTGGTGATTTTCCTATTTTCCTGCTTGGGCTAGACAGGCCAAGGCCACCAAGGGGGTCCAAGAACGTTTGGATTTCCATCATTGCTCCCAGATTGTTCTTGAAAAAGTGTTCAAAATTAAGGTCATTTGTCCAAATTTTTCATTGTCAATTCTATGCACATGAATGCCTCTGAAGGCCTTTGAATGGTAAACAGGGACATGCCAGTTTCCATAGCAATGACGTCCTCACAGATCTCTCCCTCTTCCATTTCATCAAGAGCCAGCTGTATCACTGCCACTGCCTACCAATCTCGACCGGACCTCGACCGGCTCGTCTATGTTGTTAATCGACTCGGCGTGGCGTCGGTCGTGGTAGATAGGTGGTCATACATACGAATTTTCAAGCATTATTCTGGTGACCTTTGAATGTGCCTCTGCCATTTTTTATTATAAACAATACATGTCTTTGTAAAATACATAGGTACCATAAATATAACTCCTTTGACGAATTTCCTATATATTCTTCCAGGGTTTTCTGTTACTGCAGTGTTTTTCAAACTTTAATGTACATCAAACACCTAGAGGGCTTATTAAAACAGATTGCTGGGCCCCAGAGTTTCTGGTTCAATAGGCCTGAGATGTAAGGCCTGACAGTTTGCATTTCTAACAAGTTTCCAAGTGACGCTGATGCTGCTGGTCTGGGGACCAGTCTTTGGGAACCATTGATGTGCTCCGTAATAGAATGCCCAGAAATGGGATTTTTTTTTTTTAACTTAACATTACATGAGGACATCTTTTCCACGTCCATATGTAGAGATCTACACACATTGTTTTTTCTCCGATGGGAACCATCATTTACTAGTCTCCTGTAGATGGACTTTTAGTTTTTCCCAGTTTACTTTCATAAACAGTACTACAGTCTCCATCGTTGCACCATTTAACATGTTTCCACTTTGTAATATTTCTGTAAGGGTAAATTCCTAGAGGCCCAGCTACATAAAAGAGTATACTAATTTTGTAATTTGACAGATATTGCAAAATTGCACTTTAGGAAGTTGTACCAGTTTATACTCCAGGCAATAGGAAGTGCTTATTTTCCCACAATCTTACTACTATTGCTTATTACCATTTTATCTTTGCCAGTCTGATGGTGAAATATTGGTCTCGTTTTACATTTCTTTCAATTATGAGGTAGATTATTTTTGTACATTTCACCTTTTTGTTTTGTCCTTTTTATTTTTCCTTTCCTAAGATGGTTAAAGTATTTGCCTGTGTTTTCTTCCAAGATTTTTTGGTTTCACTATTTATATTTAAACCTTTATTTTGGTGTAAGGAGTAAGGATTCCAGCTTCCCCACCATCATCACCAATAGCTACTAAGTATCAGCCTCACTTAGTAAAAATGATCCCTCCTCTGCCTTCCCATGGAGGTCTTAAATTATAAGAAAAACTTATAAAAGGAGGGGTTGCAAGTTGAGCTGTTTAGTTGGTGGTTACCCCTCTGAGAAACTGAAAAGTTTCACAGGCTCTAACTTTCAGCTAATCTTAAAACTGATTAATTTCATGTACATTGTACCATGGTATAGATAGAGCCAGGAATGAAAACTGATATCAAACAATATTGGTTTAGAGCAGCGGTTTTCAACCTTCCTAATGCCGCGACCCCTTAATACAGTTCCTCATGTTGTGGTGACCGCCAACCATAAAATTATTTTTGTTGCTACTCTATAACTAATTTTGCTACTGTTATGAATCATAATGTAAATATCTTTTTGTCTTCTGATGATCTTAGGCGACCCTTGTGAAAGGGTCGTTCGACCCCCAAAGGGGTCACAACCCACAGGTTGAGAATCATTGGGTTAGAGGGTGGACTTAAAGACTATGTTCTCTTCCTATGCCAAGTGATTTGACATACATTCTTGAATGTTGTGTAAAGTCCGCCTTCCAAAAGATTCTCTTGTCAACAAGGCTTTTTCCACCATCTTTGCTATTGCTGTGTTGGGCAAAACATACATAAAAATTGATATTTATATACAATGACTTTAAGTTTCTAAACTTTAAAAAACAAATTTGCCTTTTAAATCGCATCCAAATCAATTTATTGTTGCTTTCTTTTTTTTAAGAGATTGAAATCATGGCAGGTCCAGAAGCTGACGCCCAATTCCAATTCACTGGTATCAAAAAATATTTCAACTCATATACGCTCACAGGTAGAATGAATGTAAGTATTAATGATACTTGAAGCAATTATACTTTAGAATAATATAAATATACAGCAACTCCTGTTTACTTTTTCCTTTCTTTTTCAGTGTGTACTGGCCACATATGGAGGCATTGCTTTGCTGGTCTTATACTTCAAGTTAAGGCCAAAAAAAACTCCAGCTGTGAAAGCAACATAAAAGGTAAGGAGCTGACATTTAAAAGTTTATAACTTAGCGATTTTGATGTTATGGGGTTTTTTCCCCTGACTATAAATTAGTCACTATGCAAAATTTATTACACACAAAAAATAAATAAAAAGGCTATGCATATCTATTACCCTGACAGTTTGTTAGCATTTTGGTTTAACTCTTTGTGTATTTTATTTGGTTTCCATTGGCTGTGATTCATGACTGTTTTGTATTATAACAAGTATGTTCTCTATAACTTAAATGCACATGTGCTCGTGGAGAGATAATTCATTTTACAGAGGAATTCTATTGGTTTTTTTTAAGATTTTATTGGAGAATTAGGGGAGGGGAACAGACAAGTTGCTGTCCTTTTGTTCTTCAGTCTAGTTGTGGAGGACATCGCTTCACTGACCCATGTTGGTATTATCATTGCGCTCTTCCCTGGTGAGGCAGTCGTTCGCTGGCCATTGGACGGCTAGTCACAGCAGCTCATAAGGTGCACGCCAGCTGCCGGCCAGCCTTACTGCAGCCTACGTGATCACAGCAGCCCAGCTCCAGGTCGAGCTGTTGTTCACCATCTTAGCTGTAGAGAGCGCAGCATCACTGGCTCTCATATGGGGGATCCAAACCAGGGCCCTGCTGCTCAGAGCTGGCATCCCAAGCCAACTCCTAACCAGCACACCACTCAGCCAGCCCCTGTTAGATTTTTTTAAAATATAAATATGAACACTTTTGAGAATGAAGTGAAATCTGTATCTTATGATTATTTTTTTAGGTTGAAGTTCTTTCTCAAAGGGTTGTGGGGCGCCCAGCTTTTTAAGAGGTGTCTCTATTGCCCCACCCAACGTTGAATATGTTTCTGGTTTTTGTTAATTTGATTAGTAAAAATAATTTCTTTTTGATGAAGTTGTACATTTTTTGTGTTTACCATTTGTATTTTTATTAACATTCTCTTCATGTGCTTTTCTCATTTAACAATTGGGACTTTGTCTTTGTGAAGACCTTATTTTTCTTGTATAAGCTCTTTATGTAATAATTATTAACCAACCTTTTAAATCAGTTGCAAATATACATTGCTTTTGTTTGCTAGTTTCAAATTTTCATATAAAGTTATATCATTTCCTTAAATCCCCAGACTTCATTTTCCTCTTATAGTGTCTCCAACCCCCATTTGTCCACAGTTAAGTGAATAAATATTTGTGTTGGCAATATTGTGCAGAAAACCCAGATCTTCATATAATGTAGCTCTCCACAGACAAAATTTTCCCTCTGCTCTTAAGAGCTTTTCCAATCCTTAGGGGACTGCATATCCCAGAATGCAGTGGTCCATGGCTTATTCCTGACAAACCTGTAGTATTTTGCTCAATTTTCCATGCTAGGTACCTAACTTTGGGAAGGTGGTAGTATCCCCTTTGCACAAATGGAGAGATTGTTTCTCAGATATTAAATAGAAACATACCTGTTTTCTACTGTTTAAAATGTTACTTTATATACTCGTACGTTTAGGACCATACTGAATTGTTGGTAGCTTTTTTGTTAAAGGTGGAGTATTAGGTTACATTGTATTATGCTAAGAGATACCTTAATTGGTGGGGAGGGGTTACTGACTCCTTTGAGAATCTGATGGGTTCGCATTCAATTTTAGGGGGTTCATGGATAGTCCTGTACTGGTAATTTACTGAAAGTCTTAAAACACATTTGTGTCTAAACTATTTTTGCTTTGTTTATAGGATTCTAAGCTGTACCTCATCTGTTGATTTCCCATACCTGGAGAAGCTAATGTCAACTCATGTGATACTCAATTTGTACAATAAATTATGAACCTGGAAAAGCTGGTTGTCTTTATTTACAAGATATCAAAAATATAAAAACTGTACAAAATGCAACAAAGGCAAAAAACTGGCAGTGACTTGGTCTGAATATTTTAGTTTCCCAAAGCAAGGCTCAGTACTGGAGGTAAGCAACTGAAATGTCTGTCTGACTTCAAGTGTACTAGGTTGTGTATTTTAGCTGAAGTAGAACATGGAAGCTAAATTTCTTTACCTGATTTATAGAGTGTTTGGGTGCACTCAGGCATAAATTCAGATGTCAGTTGATGGTTGTACTTCATCTAATTCTTAGAACGGAATTGTAGTTCACCCTACCCAGTTACATACATTCCACTAGTCATGGGCCACGCAAAAATATTAGTGGATCATTTAACAGAGTACTTGAGTGCCATACAGTAACTACATTTTTACAGCAGAAACATACATGCTCATAGAATTCTTCAGCTAAAATTCAAGATGGTATTATATTACTCGATTTGAATCTAGAAGCAAAATGAATTATTGAAATCAATTGGTTTTTTTCTAAACATAATAAATTAAAATAGCATTTAAACAGAAAATGCATAGTTTCCACACAATCCAAAGCACCATAAATGTCCCCTCCACGAACATAATACCTCTTATTCAACTAACGGAAATTAGTTAAATGTGGTTGCTATAGAAACGTGGAACTGTCCTGTTCAGATTTTCCAAGCAGCATACTTCCAGATCCATATAGACAAACATTCTTTGATTAAATATTAATCACTGAGGTATTTGCTTTTAGTCTCCCTTTTTCAAACAGTAGCTTCCAAAAGGTCTTTAATACCAATAGTTTATTGCGGACTATAAGCTCCTGCAGCTAGAACCAAGTTTCTTCGAGTAAAATGGAGGTGCACAACTGGTGTTGATTTGGTCATATATGTTCCCAACAATAGCTCCTGTGAATTCTCAGGTAAATTTATATGCCCAGTGGCTGTAGTAAAGTCATCAGTCTCTAAATCTTCAAATGCTTTGACAGCATCCCATAACCGGACTGTATTATCCATTGAACCTAAGGGAAAGTCAAAGGAAACCATTCAGTAGCATCCACCATATTTAGCTTCTAACATTTTGTCAAGTCTTGATTAACAACTCTGTTCCCCCTAAAGGAGCATTTCAAGTAGTAGTTTTGAGAAATCAATATACAAGTAGGGTGACACTGGCTAAAGAGAAGCGAAACCTAATACAACAGGACTTAATTTTGCAACTGTCAATGCTCAGTGTTTTCTTTTAACATACCATATACCCTTTACCACAAAGCCATTTCTAGTCATTTACCTGATGCCAAAATTTCACCATCTCTACTAAACCTAAGCGAACAAACTGTATCAGTGTGGCCTTTTAATTCTCCAACCATCAAACCATGTCCAATATCCCAAAGGAGTACTCTGCCATCTGTTGCTCCTGTAGCCAGGAATCTCCCATTGGGAGAAAATGTCAAGGCATGAATTGGTCCCTAGAAAAGAAGTCAATGAGAAGTCAAAAGTAAGGCTAAAAAATAGAAAATAAGACAAACTTAGAATTTTTAAGTTTAGTGGTATGAATGGTATCTTTAAAATTTATGTGTCACTGGTTAATTTTTAAAATATTTTTATCTCAAAAGCAACCTTGTGTGCTGGGATAATGAAGGTGTAAAAATACCTTGTGTCCAGTGAAGATCCTTACACAGTTCCCATTCAGGACATCCCAGAGCCGCACAGTTCTATCTGCAGAGCCCGTAGCAACATAATTAGAATTTGGATGGAATCGGGTACAATTCACATCAGCAAGATGGCCAGCAAATATCCTTAAAGGCTGATAGTGGTCTGTAGCCCAAAGCCTTTGAAAAAATTTATTAAAAGCAAAAGATAATTAGTAGTTAACTACGAAAAGTGAAAATGGTATCCTAAACATCTATGTGAAATGTTAGCTCCAAATAGGCCCCTTCACTAGTTAACCTGAGGGAAAGAAGGAATGATTGAGATTGAATAACATTCATAAGAAAAACTAACTTGATCTGGTACACACATTTTTTAATTTTATAGTTCTTGAGTTCTCTGTATATGCCCCCTCCCACTCCAGCTCCTAGTCTAACCTATAGAAAAGTTTTAGCTACCACACAGTTTCTACGTCATCCCAAACTTCTAAGGAGATGATGGAAACAGGTGCTACAATGAATGGTCCGTGAAAGAAGGTTAAACAGCTGATGGGAGACAGGGAAGGTGTGTTAATAAGCTAACTTGAGAAAGAAAAATAAGACTCAGGATTCTTGGTATAGACATAGAGACACAGTAATACTCCTTTGCCAACAAGAACCCATTCTGTTTGTTCCTTTAAAAGACCCAGTCATAAGATCACAATGTTCTTACCGAGCTACTCGGTCATGGCCCCCTGACACAAAATAATATCCATATGGAGAAAACTGTGTGTCCCAAACCGGATAGTTGTGTCCTTTATATCCCACCAAGCAAGTAAATGTTTGAAGACTCCACAATCGAACAGTTCCATCCTCTGAAGAGGAAAGCAGGTAGTTCCTGAGAGAACAGAAGGTAATATATTTGATGCTCAGAATAACTTAGTCACCTGTCCAGTTTTTCTGCACATTTGAATATATTAAATTTAGCTGACATGCTACATCTCACTTTTAATTTACGCTTGGAATTCACAGTAGATAGCAAGAGCTGAAAGTACTAACCAAACTAATGTTAGACACTACATCTACTGAGCACCTACTGAATGAGGTTAGATTATTTTTAAAAATATATTACGGGGAAAATCACAGTTAAAAAAAATAATACCAAGGGATAATGACAAAAAGTATGGTCAAATAAGGTCAATTGAGAAAGGCTTCTAAGAAATGTGATATGTCATTTAAAACTCAACTATGTTTGACTTTAAAACAGAGACACTATTTTCCTATCCTGTATGAGTTGCATAAGAATTTAAAGGGCAATGTCTTGACACACACAAAAAAAGAAAAAACAAAAAAACACTAGACACACAAATAATACTCTTTTCACGGATAAATACAAAAGCTGAACTACCCAAAGTACTATAGTTTTCACCGAAATCAAAAGTTTCTCTCAAGTAAAACTGTCATCTTGCTAAACGCTATCAAACAAAAACTTCATTCTCAAAGGCTCATAAAAATGAAAACCTTGATGGATTAAAAACTACCAGGGCCGGCTGAGTGGCTCATTGGTTGGGAGTTGGCTTGGGACGCCAGCTCTGAGCAGAAGGGCCGCCAGTTCAGATCCCATGTGGGCCAGTGATGCTGTGCCCTCTACAGCTAAGATGGTGAACAACAACTCAACCTGGAGCTGGGCTGCCCATGAGTCGCCGGCGACAGCGTCAGCTGCAGAGGGGCTGCAGTGGGCTGCCATGGGCTACTGTGAGTGGCCGGCAGCCAGCATGGGTGGCCGGCGGCCAGCGCGGGCTGCTGTGGGCTGCCATGAGCAGCCATCCAATGGCCAGCGACCGGTCTGCCTCAGCCAGGAAGAGCACAATGATCACAATATCAACATGGGCCAGTGAAGTGATGTCCTCCACAACTAGAATGAAGAACAGGGGAACAGCAATTTGTCTGTTCCCCTTCCCTGATTCCCCAATGCTATTCCCTCCCCCAGTTCCCCAATAAAATCTTTAAAAAAAAAAAGCTGTTATCTATCCAAGTAAGGTATAAATGATATGAACACAAAATACCCTTCTCCCATTTCTATAGAATGTTAGAGATCATGAAAAACAGGGAAGTATCTATTTACAGGTTTCAAATTCTCTCAGTATCCTCTTAGTTCTTTTGATTGTACAAAGATAAATCTTCAATTGATAGCTAATATGCCTTTCATATCAGCAATCTGTTGTAAATTTGGATATGATGGAAGATAGCAGTAGTCACAAAACCTAAAGAAGCAATTCAGCCCCTATCAAGGTTATACAAAACTAAAGCTAGTTTTTAAAACCAGCAAACCCCGAAGCTATGCATCTTGATTCTGTAAATTTGGGTATACATTAAGTTGCTATCGTACATCAGTACCCCAAGGTGAATTAGCAAATGGCAAGATTCTAAAAGATGATGAATGATAGGCAACCATGAGATTTTTCTAACAGAAATTTTCCCAACATTTGCATAATGTTTCCAGTACTTAACTATTAGGTTGTTGGGAAAGTCATGACGTATTTTTCTATGTTTTTCAAGGCAAAAATGCATCATGACTTTCCCGACGACCCAATATTATATAATCTCGATATAATATTGCAGTATTTAATTTTTACTGTTTGTACTTTACCTATCTGGACTGAAGCTGGCTCCATAGACAGGCCCACTGTGACCATACAAAATCTTCAACTCACTTGCTGTTTTCTCATCCATGATTCTTTCCAAGACATCATCTGATTCTTTGTCTATGAGGCTAAGATCTAAAATGATCCAGAAATACTGATTTTTAAAAGTACATCCATTAAAACATTCTAAGGAAATTACATTATGGTTCAGGAGAAGAGCATTTGAACAGTTCCTCCTACATACCACCCACTGTGCTAATGCCTCTAAATTAGGTGATATTATCCCAAGGTATAGAAGAAACTGAGGTTCAGAACAGTTTATTATTAGCCAGAGTGTACACAACTATTCAGTGTCGGAACTAGGACTGAAACTCAAGTTTATCCACTATATCACAATGTTTCACAAAAATGAAAACTATGGAAATACTAAATTATTGAAAATGTATTATAATGTTTAAGCAATATAGTTAGCAAGCTCTTTAAAATGAAATCCTGACTTTATTCTTTTTTAGTCATTTTTATGGCTAAAACAAAGTATTCTCCCATTATTTAAAGGTTTTTTTAAAAATTCACAAGCAATCATAAAATGTTAGATTTTTAATCTTAATGAGTTTTGTAGCCTAATCCCCTCATTCTACAGATGAGAAAACTGAGGCCCAAAGAAATTAAAACAGTCTAGTACTCCAGTCTGCTGACTGCCACGCCAATGCACTTTTCACTG